GGTGATGGCTGATCCCTCAGGCGTGTGTCATGCCTCCAGGCTCTGCATTCCCCTCCCTTACCTAAGATGTCAGCTCACCTTTTCTGCCTCCTCCATGGTCTCACCACATGTCCTTTGTCTCTGTCTGCCTTCCCCTCCCTGGGCTTACTGGGACCCTGCCTCCCATGAAAAACTTGTAACCTGGTTCCTTATGACTTAAGTTATTCCAACTAGTTTGCCAGGCCTCTCAGTCTAAAGTAACTTTAAGTCAGCTGCTGTATCAAAAGTGCTTACAAAAACTGTGGCTGCCACGCTCATGCTGTAACTCCGCCCCCACAAGGGAAGGAGGGAAAACAAACAGGTGCACCTGGACACAGCAAAAACGCCTGCCATAGCTAAGAAAATCCATAGACAGCATGCAGCACATCCTGGGCCGCCAGCCACATGTGGTGATGGCTGTAGCCGGCCTCCACTTCCCCTAGAATAAACATGTGCAGAGTACACGGGAAGGGGGGAGGGGCGGCAGGCTGCAGGATTAGGCCTAGGCAGTCAGGCTTGCTTGTCCCGGGTGTGTGTGGAGGGCATTGCCGCCTTACACACACCCTGTTCCTAGCCCCACCTCACATCTCGGGGCATCAGACCCAGCCCTTGTAAGTCAATCGTTAGCTCAAGGTTACAGTTCCAGAAATAACAAAATAGACATTACTGTGGTCTCTAAACTTCTCATTTAAAATTTTCTATACCTTTGGCCTCAACATAAATTTTTCCCTCCAAATTAACACTAGTTTTGTCCCTATCGGTACTGTTATTTGGTTCTGAAATGCCTTCTGAATTGCCGTTCTCAACTTTACAAAATTGATTTATTTCTTTTGTTTTTAAAAAGGCAGCCTTTATTAAAGAGGCTGCCTGATGTTAGCTAAAAGACAGGCATCCTAGCAATTTTGTTCTTTCTAGATGGGGATCTGGCAAACCTTCCAGTTCTTCTGGCTTGTAGTGTTAAAAAGCTTTGATTGAGGCCAATCCTGCCTTGCGGTGACCAAGAGAAGTGGCCTTCACAGGGTTCCTTAAATTACAATACCAATTAGTCCAATTAGACCTTTTTATAAAAGGAAAAAATATATATATAACTATATTATATATTTTCGGATAAAATGTAGGGCTCAATTGAAAAAATGTATTGCCCAGCATGACAAAGCCTGGTTCAATTCCCCAGCATTACTAAATAAAAAAAAAAAAATGGTAAAGAAGATAAGTGCATTAATGTCATTCAGCCATCTCATAGTGGAAAAAGTATTTAACCTAGACCAGATCCCTCATTCTTCAAGTGAGGAAACTGAAGGCCCAGAACAGTTCAGAGACCTGCTCTCCAGAGTGTCAGGTGTCAATGTAAAATAACAACTTACTTTACAGCAACAACTAAAAAAAAAATCCTCTTACCTTTCTACAACATCTTAAGGAGGCTATCAGAAAGCATACCACAATGGACTCAGGTCAAGGTGAGAGAGTTCTCCTCAAAGATAAATTTTCTAACAGTCAGCCCCAGATATTTGTAAAAAACTCAGACTGTGGCTGAAGGAAAAAGTCACTGAACCAAGTAATACAGCTAGCCATGTCTGTATTTATAGCTATGTCTGTATGTCCGGACCTTACTAACAGAGAGGAAAAAGATAAGAGACCCATGGCCTCATTGCTGCTCTCAGAGGGCCCCACCTGACTGAGGCCTGTATCCTGAACTTGCTACCATGGTGGATGGTAGGGGCACTTCTGCAAGAGAATCTTAAGGGGGTCAGCCCTGGGAGACAGCCCCTTGCCCCCAACTGGGACCCCTGCCACTGCAAGGGTAAACCACTGCGAGGTCTAAGTCGCCCATGCCACCACGATGGAGCGATGGTGCCACCTCCTTATGGATTTTGCGGTCCTGTCCATGCTCCACTTATTAATATCGAAATTGAGGAGCCTTAGGTAGTCATGATGGTTAGAGAAGTGAAGTCATTTTCCTTCTAGACAGCTGACCCCTGGTTTCTCTGTTTTACCTTTTTCTCCTGGTCCCTAGTCCAATGACAAAAGATATCATTCGGGGCAAATCTGGCAGCCCCTAGAGTGCTAGTTTACCTGGCCTCTGGCCTGCCTTCTTTTGGGAGACCTCCTCTGTCTGTCCAACTTCTTTCCCACATTACCTAAAACTCCAGTGCTCTGCTGGGATGGGATTTACTATTCTCAATTAAAAGGTCAAGTTCTGCCTCCCCCCAGGCAGCTATCTCTGCTGCCCCTCTTCAGGAGGCAAATAATTCCACAGTGTGGCGGACTGATGAGATGAGTGTAGCGGTGAGCCAGACGGCCCCCCTATTCAAATAAAACTCAAAAATCCCTCACAGTTTCCATACCCAAAACAATATTCCCCTCAAGCCTGAGGAGGGATGATGAGGCCTTAAAACAACAAGGGCTACTAATTAGTTGCTTCAGCCCCTATAATAAATTTAAAATTCTTAAACTAGTTAATTTTAAAATACAAGCTACAAAGTAAACCACTAAAAAGGATATAGATAGGTAGTAAATGTATATAAAATAACAAGGTTATCTTAATATTGTTCTGCTCTGAGTAACGTCTACAAAAAAACCATTACCGAGAAAGATTTTAATCAAAGAAATCATTTGTGTTTTCGCTTGATCTTGTCAAGCTTTAAATCAGAGTTCATTACATATTTGCTTATGTGTCTTAAATGACCACCTGTAACAGTGTTTATGTTATACTTTAAATATGATACAAACATGTTAAAAGGTTAAAAGTTTGTCAATTTATATAAAATAAATGAGCTAAAGCTCTCTTTTTATCCAAGAGTGTTACATTTAAATCCTGACAGGCCCCTGACCTCCCACAGGTCACCTACCTAGGTTGGCCTTAAAAGGGACAGACTCACTTCCCTGAGTCAATAAATTGCATCAACCCAGTCTCTGTTCCCAAACCCGAATACCATAAAAACAGCTTACAGCTTTTCCTGGGGAGTTATAGATTTTTGCAGAATTTAGATCCCTAGGTATGCCAGTCCCTGAGCAGGACACCTTTTTATGCTCCTCTTAATATTCCCTATTGGTTTTAATAAGTTTTATGCCACCCATTTCTCTTAGAAAACTTGCCTCCAACAGACTTCTGCCTCCTCTGGCTGACTACCTGCCTTCTCAGGGAACTTCTCAGAGGAGCATGCCAGACCAGATCCTGCCCACCCTATAACCCAATTATCTGTAAACCAGGGCATCTTGTTCTCCAAAAGACTTCACTCTTGGTCCCCAATGGCGCACCTGCTCAAGAAAACAATTAGGAAAAATGGAGAAGGGAAATTGGAGGACCCTTGAAATTGTCTAGGGAACAACATTTCACAGTGGTCTCCTGGCCAATGCCGATTCCTAATGCCTGTTTCTTGCTCTCCTATTTCTTGAGCTCTCCTTGTTGTCCTACTGCATGTCTGCTATTGCTAATCAAAGTTTAACAGTGCACCTCCAGGGACACCAACCTCTCCAAAACCCTCCAGAGGAGAGTGACTGCTATGAGGGCCCCCACCAGGACACAGGAGCCTTGGAGGATCTTGCCCCATAAACATCCCCTGCCGGGAGGGAAGCAGCTAAAGAGACCGATGCTTCACCTCAATCTCCTGATCCACAGCCCCTACCCCTCATCATTATTTTAAGAAAAAAAATGTCCCATTTTGGAAACTGGCAAAAATGGCAACCCTTCCCTTAAACAAATTCCCAAAAGCCACCCTGCTCCGTAAGGAGAATGGTCTACTCAGTCCTTCCCAGTCCACACCGGGGAGGCCGGCAAGCATTGTTTTTGTGTAAATTATTGTTAATGGCAAATTTTTAATCTTTCGTCTTACACTTTTCTGTTGTGGTTTTTATTTTGAATGGTCAGGCCATCGTTTCCCCCCTTTTTATCCCCCAACTTGAAATGCATGAAGCTTTTTGGTCTCCCTGGGAGTGGGTTTGAGCGTGTGGAGCCAGCGGCCAGGGACTTCCCTGTACACTTGACTTGAGACCAGGTCAACAACCCTTCCCTTAAACAATTCCCAAGCCACCCTGCTCCGTAAGAGAATGGCCTACTCAGTCCTCCCCAGTCCACACCGGGAGGCCGCAAGCATTGTTTGTGTAAATTATGTTAATATGCAATTTTAATCTTCGTCTTAACACTTTTCTGTTTGTTTTATTTTGAAGGTCAGCCATCGTTTCCCCCCTTTTTATCCCCCAACTTGAAATGTATGAAGCTTTTTTGGTCTCCCTGGAGTGGGTTGAAGGGTGGAGCAGCGCCAGACTTCCTGTTACACTTGACTTGAGACCAGTTCAATGAGTGCACACCTTAAAAAAAAAAACAAAAAACCAAAAAACCCCAAATTCCCACGCTCTAAGACAGCCCCACCTCAACCCAGACTACTGCGCATGCGCCAGCTTCCTTACCCTCCCCCTTCTAAAAAGCCACTGCTCCCAGAGTCAGCGGGCGCCATCTTTCCCGCGGCTTAGCATTAAACTTTTGCTCTATGACCTGAGACTTTCTCCTGCGCTTTCTTTGTGAGCGGTGTTTTTCCTCGCAGTTACTCCAATCCTTAATTGTTCAGTAAAGTTTGGCTATTTTTATGTATTCTACCCTCATCTTCCTCCCTCTATCGGAAACAACGTCAAAATCCTGCTTAACACAAATTAGGAGCTAATGGCACGCATTCCTTCGTGACCGTGCGATTGAGAAAGGCAGGCTCGGTGGACGGAGCGTCGGGTACACACAAACCACTGACCTCAGAAGCTGAGGGGTGGGGACGGGAACCAGCAGTGGTCAGGTGCTCCTTGGCCAGGGTGCCAGGGCCTCAAGCCGTGTCGGTCCGCAATCTTTCCCTAGTCCAGCTGCAGCATGCTTGGGCTCCGCGCCAGGCCCGCCCCGCCCTGGGCTGCCGACCAATCACCGCCAGCCATGGCGATCCCGGGCCGCTATTGGAGGAGAGGGGGTCGCGGAGGCGGAGCCTGGTGCTGGTCGCGGGGTCTATGGTTGGGGCCGTGGCGGCGGGCGCGCCGGTCTTTGCCCTTGAAGTTTGCAGCCGTCCACCATGGCTGTGCTGGCAGTGCTTCTGCGCCGCAGCGTCCGCGGGCGCGCGCCTCTGCTCCGGAGGCTGCAGCAGGTACGTCGGGCTCGCGCTGGGGAGCCCTTCCCCGCCCGCGGAAGCCCCTAAGAGAGGCTCGCCCGTGCGCAGTTGTGACGGGTGGATGTCCCCGAGGCAGAGAGGCCCTGCCTGGCCCGGAGGCTGCACAGGTGCAGGCCTAGAAAACCGCGTCGAGAGTTTCCTTAAAGCAAGTTTGTGAGCTCCGTGGTCGAGAGTGACTTTCTTTTCTTTTTCTCATCCAGTAATCCTTGGTTTTACAAGGGGTGAGACGCTATGTGATAAGAAAAAGATGCTCTTACTCGGCTGCACTGTAAAACTTACCAGGGAACAAAATGGCTACTCAGATCGGAAAAGAAGATACTTCACAGCTGGCATTTAAGTAGCCTGTCTACTGGGGTGTCTTGAGGGCTGGGGGTCTCTCTTCTGCCTGTAGGGAACGCAGTAGGGACAGACCCTTGAAATAACCCTTGAAGGGAGGGAGCCTGCACCCCAGATGTAGTGTAGAGCACCCCAGGTGTGGTTGGGGTAGTGAGTTCTGGATTTGACGCAGGTCAGTGAGGGTCCTGGTGGTCTGGTGGTCGTCACTATCGGAGGCACGGAGAGGGCGTGGGCGACGGTGACACCTGGCTGGCGGCTGGCGCGGAGAGGAGCCGCCCTGCGCGAGAACGCAGGCTGGTCAGTTACAGAGCGAGGGGAGGGAGCCCAGGGGAGCGAATAGTCTGCAACCGATCCTGGCGGCGTGGAGCCAGGTGGCTCGGCCTGACGTCCCAGCTCCGAGAGAGGCTGAGGTGGGAGGAGCTTCGGCTCCCCCCAAAAAATCTGCATGATGGAGGTAACTGAAGTACAGAAGTCGGAAGGGGCTTTCCAGGAAAGTTGAGGGTCTTTAACAGTTTTGATCTTAAATGGTTTTATTTTTCATTGCATAAAATAGAATAAGTGTTCCCAGGAAAATTGAGTTTTTATTTTTTTATTGTTTTGAGACAGGCGGGTCTTGCGTTGCAGCCCAGGCTGACCAAATCCTCCTGTGCCACCATGCCCCATCCCCACTGCGGGCATTGAACCCAGCCTCCCGCATGTTAGGCAAGCACTCCACCCTTGAGCTACATGCCCAGACCTTTTGTTTTTATTTTGCTTTCTGAGATAAGGTCTCACTAGCTTTTCTGGGGCTGGCCTGGAACTCAAGACCCTCCTGCCTCTGCCTCCAGAGTAGCAGGGATTACAGATGTGCACTGCCGTGTCCAGCTCCAAGAGGAGTTCTTAATCAGCTTGTTAGTTTCATGCAATAATGAGAAATCACAACAACCTAATTGGGCTAACTTGGATTTCAGACTGTTGATTAGGTGAATCAGATGAACTAGGCACTCTAGGTATGCTTAGCCACCCCCCCCCCCCCCCCCGCAAAAAAAAGAAAACACAAGTGTAGAACCTTAGCTTACACTTTTAATAGTTTACAATCAAACACAAATGTTCCTGATGAAGAAAATGAATCTGAGCTGGTGCCTTGGGACACATTTGTAGTTCCAGGTATCTGCTCAAGAGGATTGCTTGAGCTCAGGGGTTCTAGCCTGGGTCTCTCTCTTTCACCCTCTTCTTTCTCCTTCCCACCTCTCTCAGTGGGGTGTGAATTTAGGGCCTTGCACTAGATAGGCAATTCTACTATTTGAGCCACACCCCCCAGCCCTTTTTGCTTTATTTTTCAGGTAGGGTCTCTTTTTGTCCACGGCTGGCCTCAGGCCTCGATTCTCCTCCTGTTTAAGGCCTTCCACGTAGCTGGAGCCACAAGTGTGCACCATGCCCAGCTTACTGATTGAGACAGGGATCTTGCTAACTTTTTGCTTGGGCTGAACCTTAATCATTCTGATCTCTTGAGTAGCTGAGATTACAGAGGTGAGCCATAATGCCCAGCTGAGACACTGTCTCTTGAGAAATATATTAAAAAAAAAAAAAAAGGGCTGGAGGTATTGCTCAAACAGTAAAGTGCATTGCTAGCAAGTATAAAACTCTTTTGAGTTCAAACTCCAGTACCACTCAAAGAAAAAAAAAAAGAACAGAATAAGCTGGTACACATCTATAATCTCAGCACTGGGGAGATGGATTGTGAATTTGAGGCCAGCCTAGGCTTCTTAATGAAGTACCAGATCAGCCTGGGCTACGAAGAAGGACCCTCAAAACAAAAGAACCAGAATAAAACTGGGTCAGAGTACAGAACAGAAGTTTCTGTGAGGGGATGGGAAATAGTGTGGAATACAGCATAAAGGTCAAGTCCCCTTCCCTCTGACTCCTTGATTTTGGGGTCTTCCCTCTGTTCTTCTCTGGGTCTCAACAGCCTAAGTGTGCTTGTGCCTCACTGTTGCTAACTTCTCTGTCACCTGACTGTCCCGCTGTGCTCCATTCTTTTATGCCTGTGTATTTCTCTCCCTGCACTAACTTCTGTTTCAGATAGATGTTTGTTTTGATGGTTGAATCGTCACGAATCCACTCACTGGTTTTGCTCCCTTCCTTTTCTGTACTTACTCTGCATGCTCCAGCTGTAGTTCTTGGGCCTCTATTTTTATATAGGCTAAAGGAACAGTCAGAATGTTATGATAAGCAAGTAGTGATAGTGATGATATGATAGGGTTGACATGGTAATGTGGCTGGGAGACAGGAGTGAGGTATAGTTTTGGGGGTGCAGCCTTTGGCATGTATGTGGACAGTGGGGTTTTCCTGAGGAAATGTGGAGGTAGAAAGAGAAGAGCTGAGTGTTGGGTTTGTGTTACTGTCTGGTTAGATGCAGGGTCTGGTACTGAGGAGAACTGGACAAAGCACAGACTCTGGTCACAGATGGCAGTGGGGTCTGTAGGCCCAGAGGAGCCCACTTAGAGGGAGTGTGTAGACAGAAAGAAGAGGGCTCAGTGTGGGGTCTGGGGACCTGACAGAACAAGCGGAAGCCTGTGAAGGGAGTGGAAAGACAGGGAAACTGCTGGAATGCAGTGTCATCTGAGTCCAAAGGAAGAGACGGTGTTGGTGTCTTAGGGCTGCAGAGTTCCACAACTGGGTAGCTCAAAGCAACTGAAGTGTATTCTCTCACAGTCTCTGAAGTCTGAAGTCACCAAGCCAGCAGGCACTGGCCCCTATGAGTCCTTAGGGGGACTCTGCCTTGCTTCCTGGCCTCTGGTAGTTTGTGGGCAGTTCTTGGTTGGAGCTCCTTGGTTTGAGGCTTCTCACTTCAACCCTCTCTTCACTTCATTTTCCTTCTGTTTGAGTCTGCCTCTGTGTCCACATTTTCTCTCTTTATGAGACGCTGGTTGGATTAGGGTCTTACCTCAATGAGCTCATTTTAACTTGACTGCCTCTGTAAAGATTCCATTTCCAAATGGGGGTTAGCACTTCTTTTTTGGGAAGACAATGCAACCCATACAAAGATTATTGAAGTCAACAATTTGTTAGTGTCAGAATTTTACATAGCAGAGTGGTTATATAAGATTTTAACAAATGAATTTTATAATTTTTCTGTGTGGCTGTACTGGGGTTTGAACTCAGGGCCTCATGTTTGCTATGCAGGCCCTCTACCACTTGAGCCACTCGTAAACATAAAATAAAATGTTGGTTGAAATGAGCATAATTATTTAATACTTAGAGAAATTTAGAAAGTAATTAAGAAAAAGATTTAAGCTGGGCACTGGTGGCTCATACCTGTAATCCTAGCTACTTGAGGGGCAGAGGTGAGGAGGATCGAAGTTTGAAGCCAATCTGGGGAAATAGTTTGTAAAACCCTATCTCAAAAAATACTCGACACAAAATAGGGCTGGCAGAGTGGCTCAAGTGGTAGAGTGCCAGCTTTGCAAGCCTGAGACCCTGAGTTCAAACCCCAGTACCACCAAAAAAAAAAAAAAAAAAATTGAGATATCATCATTTTATGTAAGAGAATTTTGCTTCCCTTATGCAGATAATAATATGCATAAACACAAGGTTTTTCATTTTTTTGTGGAACTGTAGTTTGAACTCAGGACTTTGCACTTGCAAAGCAGGCGCTCTTCCAGTTGAGCCACTCCTTCAGTCTATTTTGCTTCAGTTATTTTGGAAATGGGGTCTTACAAACTCGAGCCTCCCAAGCAGCTGGGATTGCATACGTGAGCCACCAGTGCCGTGCACACCAAGTTTTTTGAGTACTAAATGCCAAGCCCTCTATCCTAAGAAGTTGAGAATGACCTAATTGCTTTCCCCCAAATATTAACTTGAAAAAGACTCATTTTCTGATTTTTGTAGTTGCTTTGACAGCTGTTAGCTGTTGACTCTTTTTGTCTCCTATGGAATCTACAGACTTGATCAGTGGAGAATGCAGAGAAGGAATGACTGAAAAGCAGTGCGTACTTTGGAGAGAGCAGCTGCTTCCGGTTCCTGTGGTAGTATAGAGGCCCCACGGAGGCTGCGGGGTGAGACTGCCTAGATCTGAAATCCCAGTCCTGCCCTACTGGCTGTGTGATCTGGGGAGGGCGTTCCATCCCTCATCTGTAAAAGGAGAAAATAGTACCATGGCTGCTCTTGACTTGCATCTGTCCATCCCTCCTGCAACCTTCCTAGCACTGGTCACATCATTTTTGGTGGCCTCCTTCCCTTTTCTGACTCCTGCCTACCATATTCAGTTCTCTATGCTGTGGCCCATGTGCTTTTCCATAACATAAAATCCATCAGTGACCGGTGATGGCAGAGGCCAGACTCCTTACTGTGCGTGGCCTCCTTGGTTCTTGCTTGCTTCTGTAGTCTCAGCTCAGCCTCCGCTCTTCCGAGCTCAGTCTGTCTCTGTCACACTTCTGTCCTTTCTGTACTTGGTGTGTGCTGCTATGGGTTTCGTCCTGTTATGCGCAAACACTCTTCCCAGAGCTAAGTTGTTTCTGAGCTCTGTTGCTTTTTTTTTTGAGTCAGGGTCTCACTATGTAAATCAGGCTAACCTCAAACTCACATTCCTCCTGCCTCAGCCTCCCAAATGCTGGGATTACAGGTGTGTGCCACCATGCCCAGTGTCAGAGAGCCTTTTTTGACCATCTCATGTGAAGCAGGCCCTTGCTAATCTAGCTTCTTATTGCATTTTGCTGGTTTCATAAATGTATTGTTTTTCAGTGGTTTTTAGTAAGCATCAAACTTTGTTCACATTTGTTTAACAACTATCATTGATTGTCATTGAGATAGGAAGTAAACAGAATCTTTTCTTGGAATTCACAAGCTGGTGGGAAATAGGTCACCTGAAGGGGTCAAAATCATGTTATCTAGGAATTGAACTGTGCATAGGGTGCTGGGGAAACTGAGGTAAGCATGCCACCTTGGTTAAGTCTCCAGATTTGGCTGTGCAGCTGAGCTGCTCTTGAAGAATGAATATATTGTGTAGCTTACTAACTAGTTGTGTTCACTCAACACGTATTACATGCTGCGTACACCATCATAATCAGTTGGTTCTCTTGGTGGTACTGGGGATTAAACTCAGGGTCTCTTACTTGTTAGGCAATTGCTTTGCCACTTGAGCTATGAACCCAGCCCTTTTCTACTTTTAGTTATTTTGGGAATAGAGTATTGCATTATCCTGCCAGGGACTGGCCTCAGATCGAGATCCTCCTACCCTGTGCCTCTTGTGTAACTGGGATTAGAGGCACATCCACCACCCCTAGCTTTCTTGTCAACCAATAACTCGCTAACTTTTTTTTCCCCAGGCTGACCTCAAACCATGATGCTCCCAATCTCCCTCCTCAAGTAGCTGGGGTTACAGGTCTGGGTCTGTAGTTCAGACTGGCCTGGAACCCATGTGCATTGTGCCTCCACCTCGGTAATGCTCGGATTATAGTCATGCACCCCGGTTGTACTAATTTTGACATTTATTCAGATATTTAAAGAGCTACTACGTTAGCAGTAAATAAGAGAGAGAGTCCTCTCAAGAAGCTTGCATTAAGGGCTGGTGGAGTGGCTCAAGCAGTAAGAGCACCTGCTTAGCAAGTGTGACTTGCTGAGTTCAAGCCCTAGTGCCTCCGAAAAGAAAAAAAAAAAACGAAGCTTGCATTATGTGTGTGGGGGATGGTAATAATAAAACAAAGATGTGAACCACATACTACACAGCGTGAGGGCTGCTTCAAAGAAAATGACCTTTATATAAGAGTAAAAAAATCGAGGCCAACTTTAAATAGAGCAGTTAAGGAAGATCACTCTGGGATTGTGTCATTTGTGCCTCTAGGCTCAATAAAATGAATAAAAATGAACCAGCCATGGGAAGCCAAGGAAAGACTTGACCTCAGAGTCATGGCAAAGGTCCTGAGGTGGGATGGGTTCAGAACAGAGGAGGCTGGTGCACTGGCACGGAGCAGGAGTAGTGTGAGTTTGGGAAGCTGATCAGGAGTGAGATCACGTGGGGCCTTGTGGGATTTGGTCAGTTTGGATGTCATTCCCAGAGCAATGGAAAGCCACCAAAGGATTTTAAGCCGGGGAGCAATATGATCTGATTTACGTGCTTAAATTGGGTAGACTTTAATAGTGTGAGTCAGGGAAAGCAGAAGCAAGTACAAGGCAATTAACAAGAGCAAGAGATGTTGGATGGACTTGGCAGTGGTGGGAATTGAAGCAGAGTGGAGAGTGTAGGTGTTTTGGACAGAGCACTGATGGTGTCTTGTGACAGACTATCTGGGTTTGGGGAGTTTAAGATGAAGGGAAACATGAGGCTGATTATGGCTTGGCCACCTGAGGTGGGTAGTGCTGGGAAGAAATTGATTTTTTTTTAGTGACATTTGTTTTTTCAACATATTTTACATGTTTTTATTTATTAGAAATATGTATTTATACCACTGTATGTACACAGTTCCATAGTGTATTGATATTTTGTTACATTTGGTATAGTGAAACACCCAGAATGGTGAGTAGAGCTATATATGTACATGAATAAATTTCTGTATTTTGCACGTATATATATTTATTGTGGTTATATGTGTGCTTATATATGTTCCTTTGCATTTGCATATGGGTAAATATCAAACAGAGCTAGTTTTGTGTGGAGGCTATACAGTTCTCAGCCTAACACTGACGACATGAGAGACAGCTCCAAACTTTCCAGCCACTGGTCCAAAGTCTGTGAGGTGTTTGATTTTGCTACCTACAACGTTGTTGACCTTGCTCAGAACCCACAGTGGTAAAATGATAGAGACAAAAGTCATTTCTGAATGGAGTGAATAGTAAACAGAAGGGGAGGGCAATGAAACATTGCAGGTAACTTGTTGGAGAAACTTTCCTAAAGGGAGCTAAGAAATGTGGTGAAAGTTCAGTGAAATGTGGGTCAAAGGACATTTGTTTTTACTTTATTTCTAGGTGGGAGGGATCAGAGCCTGTTTGTATGTCTAAGGAATGATCCAGAAGTAAAAGGGAGAAAGATATAGAGGAAGGAGGGATAACCCAGGATGGGCCATCTTTGAAAAGGCAACTGGAGATGGGGTCCAGAGCAAACCAGAAACTTTAAGTGGCTTAAAAGAGAAGGACTAGTATCCCACTTTGAATTAGCTAAGGGGAATTATTTATTATTTATGCTGAGGAGTAAACTCAGGGCCTTGCACATGCTAAACGGGTACTGTACCACTAAGCTACACCTGAAGCCCAGATAGGGAAAATTTTAAAGAGATATAATAGGCAAACTCTTGGACATCCAAGGATAAGAAATAAAGTACAGTTGGCATTGCTAGAACCCAAATTAGAAAATCACCAACCAGGGATCGCTTTTGTTTCTTGTAGTCTTGTGTGCCATGCTCTCCTGATCTCTTGAGTCTTCATGTTCCATTCTTTTGCTTATCTGCTTTCTTAGGGCCTTTCAGTGTGCTCTAACCTCTGCTTTTTATGTAGCATTGGCTGTCTTGGTGCTGACTAGCTCCTGCCCCTGGTTACTTTTCAGTTCAGTTGCTCACCACCATCCAGCTGACCCATTCTCTCAGAGTGCCAGCTAAGATCAGTCCAGTTCATTCTTCCTTTTGTTTTCTTTTTCTTTTGGTGGTACTGGGATTTGAACTTGGGGTTTCAGTCTTGCTTGAGCCATGCCTCCAGCTCCCAGCCCAGTCCATTCTTAATCCCATGAGGTTTACCCAGTTGGGTAATGGAGTTGGTTTGGAGGTACTCTATGTTGATCTTTTTGGAGCCCTTTGAGAATGGAGTGTGGCTGGAAATAGTGACTGGTGAGTTTACTATAGGGAGGAACTTTTTATTCAAAGTTAGATCACAGATAATGTGTTAGCATCCTTTAGCTGAATAGGTTATCTAAATCATAAGTTATGTATAGGGTGTGCTTCTTACACAGCTGATAGTGACGTCCATTTGTAGAGCAGATGCACTTGGGTCTTGCCTGTGTGAGCTCAGGTATGTTGACTGGCCTCCAGTAGATATCACACTATCATTTGAGTGGACGTGTAAAGCCTGGGACAGTAAAAACAAACACAAAGCTTCATAATCTCAAGACAAGCTTTAAGAAGTACCAAGTAGACATAAGAGAGAAGTTTTATTTTGGGGTCTGAATAAGCAGTTTAATCTGATAGCAACAAGTAGCATGTGTTGTTAACATAAAACTGAAGTGCCCATGTGAGCACTTGCCTGAAGTGGGATTTGAAGACCACTGTGCAACACCAAGGGTGGGGGGTGGGGACACAGCATGCTGGTTATGTCATTGACATTCTTACCAAAATCTGTCTGAGGACCGTGTATAGGTAATGTTAACATTTCCCCCCAAGACAACTATAAAGGTGCTGAGTGTAAGGTCCTATTGTACACACCTCAAAATCCCTATAATGCTTTCTTAAGGAAAGTGATCTCAAAATGATCATTAAGCAAATGGTCAGATAGTTTTATGGTCTTAGTCATCATCTCTCCACGACACAACAAAGACTGTGAAGTCCTCTTTGAAATAGAGGATACGTTGAATATTTATAAGATTACATTTTAAAATCAAATTTCAAGACTAAATTATTATTTTTGTTGTACTGGGGTTTGAACTCAGGGGCTCATGCTTGCTAGGCAGAAACTCTAACCACTTGAGCCACTCTACCAGCCCTCAAACTGACTTTTCTTTTTTGTCTGTGCTGTGTTGTAAATTGAAAATTTTAGTTATGTGCAGTCGGGACCAAGCATATTCAATCTGTGAAAAGCTGAGTTCTTCAGTCACTTGGAAGTTTAGGTATCATAGGCTTGTGTATTGCTCTGTTCATGAAGTGTGGCTTCCCATTGTAACTATCAATGATAATTCCAAGCTGTCATTTTGAATGTTTGAAAAATTTTACACTTTGTACTTTGTCCTGCAAATAGTCCAGTTTCAGATCAGTTAGGTCTCCGTCTGAACTGTGCCCTATATGTTCAGAATTTCTCTTGTTGGCACTTGTTCCTAAGTATACTCTTCCTGTGGGGAGGAGCTGGGTCAAACCTGCAACCTTGAACACACTGAGCTTAAAAAAGAACTTCTCTGGTAATACAGATGATATTTATATGAAGTGTGTTTGCCTCATAAATCAGAAGTAGATAAAAATAGCAAATTTTATGTAAAAAGACTTTTTAAGCAACATGAAAATTTTCTTGCGAAATTCTAAGATTTCATAATTTAGAGCTTAGCTTTAATTTAACTCAGGAGCTGAGACAGAAGACTGAGTTGCAGGCCAGCCTGGGCTATATCGTGAGACCTTATTTCCAAAAAAACAAAAGAAAAAAACTGAACCAATCAAAAAAAAAAAAAAAATACCCTACATTTTTTAAAGTGTATTTTAAAGCCTAGAAGTTTTAAGGTACAAACTTATCAGAAATGAAAGTGTATATTTCCATTGAACTCTCAGTAAGAAAAGTAGTATTTATTAGTCATTTTTCTGATTTACAAAAGTGATATATGCTGTGGAAAATGTGGAAATAAAAATATAAAATGCACAAAAAATCACAATTCATCACTGAAAATTATAAAATTATGTAGATTAATACTAACATTGTAACAAATTATATTACAGGAAATAAGATACACAGAGCGAAGTTATGTGTCAAAACCTACTTTGAATGTAAGTATAAATTTAAACTGTGTTTAAAAATGTCAAGAATTTAAAGGAAATGTCAATAGAATTGCACTGTCTTGTCAGATGTGGTGGTACACACCTGTGCTAGGCAAGGTGATCATGAATTTGAGGCCTGCTTAGGTTACAGAGCAGTAAAACCCTGTCTCAAAAGAATGGAACAGAATAAGCACGTGCAAATGACCTGGATATACGTGAAGGTTAACACAAAGTTACGCAAACGGTTAGGAGTAGCTGACTATTCAAGTATTAAACTAGTGGTTACCATACAGTTTTTTTCAGGTAGGCCCTTTATAATTTCTGCTGCTTCTCCATAGTCTGCTGAAAAACAACTTTCCCTGGAAAACTGGGCTGTGTTCTTCCCTTGCTCTCAGGGACCCAAAGTGTATTGAGTGGCACAAAGCAGAGGCCATGTGGAAGATTCTAGAAAAGAGGGGCCCAATCAGCTGGTGACAAGACAGGAAGGGTCATCCCTCCATTTACCTAGTTAGTGTTTGCTGAGGGGCTTGCTGTATCATAAGGTCTTTAAATTGACTTTGTATATCTTGTCTTTTTTTTTTTCTTTTGGGCGGTACTGGGGTTTGGATTCAGAGCCTACACCTTGAGCCACTCCACCATCCCTTTTTTGTGATGTTTTTTTTTGAGATAGGGTCCCCTGAGCTATTTGCCTGGGCTGACTTTGAATGGTGACGTCCTGACCTCTACCTCCTAAGTGGCCAGGATTACAGATGTGAGCCACTGGCTTCCAGTCCATTTTTTTGGCTCTATTTTAGAGATGGGTTATTTTGCCAGGGTTAGCCTCAAACCACCATCCTCCCAATCTCAAACTCTCAAGTAGCCACTAGTGCCTGGCTCAATCCAATTTTCTAATTTATCTAAGAACTTAATCGAAGTTGTAGAAGACAGTGTGAAGACACAGTTGTTAGAGAAGTTTCATAATATTTAAGAGTATTTCTACCTATTTTCTTATTGTCTAAGAAATTATGGTTGTGGGTGTGTCCTAGTGAAGTGGTGCTGGCCGCGCTAGCCTACACATCTTATTCCCAGCCCAGTGTTCCCTTCAATAAAGAAGCTTTTGGTTTGAGTTGCTTATTATGCAGTTAATAAGGGTAAAGTGACCGTTTCTTTAAATTTTGGTTGGGCTTCTGGCCTCAAACTTCCTGAGAACTGGAAAGGAGCTTTGTGTTCAGTTAAGAGTTCATTTGTGTTAGTTTATCCTTTTTGTTTTTTTTTTGTGGTGCTGGGGATTAAACCCATGCTAGACAAACACTCTACCACTGAGCTACAACCCAACCCCTGCCTTTTCTATTAGGTTTTAAGTCATAAAATGTTATTTTTATCCTTGATGACAAATTACTTATTCATGAAAGTCTTTCCTTAGACCATATATGAATTATGTTTATTTAATGAAGGTTGTTTGGGTGAAATACCTATAGTAATTTTTGCCATCTTTTTTCTTGCCAGGAAGTGGTTATAGTAAGTGCCACAAGAACACCCATTGGATCCTTTCTGGGCAGCCTTTCCTCACTACCAGCCACTAAACTTGGTTCTATTGCAGTTCAGGGAGCTATTGAAAAGGCAGGTCAGTAGTTGCCTTGCTTTTTTGTGTTGAATGGACAAAATGATTCAGTGGAACACATTCTTATTTTGCACTTTTTATACACAACTCTTAGAGAATCCAGAAATCCCTACATTTCTGAATTCTCTTGTACTATAGTTAGAAATGGAACTCACAAATATAAGAAACCATTCCTGCTATGTAATGCCAAGTATCATATTAGGTAATCACTGATTATTAAATTGAATAAAATACAGGAATGCCTTTTTGGTGTTTTCAAAGGGATTCCAAAGGAAGAGGTGAAAGAAGCGTACATGGGTAATGTCATACAAGGAGGAGAAGGGCAAGCCCCTACAAGGCAAGCAGTACTGGGTGCAGGTACCAGAAATAAATTTTGGTTTTTATACTTCAGTTTTTCAAAATGTGAAAATGAGATTATTTCAGCTTAAATAAAATGCTAAATGCTTTAAGTTACAAAATATAGGCTGAAGAAAATTTGCGAATTGCTGTAGCATGCTCTATTGTTACTACAGTGTTTGAAAAGTATCTGTTTTTCAAAAGAATGACTTACATTGGTTTTAGGCCTACCTATTTCAACTCCGTGCACTACTGTGAATAAGGTTTGTGCTTCAGGAATGAAAGCTATCATGTTGGCCTCTCAAAGTCTTATGTGTGGACACCAGGTAAGATGCACCTTCTTCTTCATCTATCAGAGTAATAGCCAGTCCCAAAAGACACGGAAATCAAAGCACACTCATGCCTTAGAGACTCAATTGCCAGTTCCACTGATGCAGAATCAAAATGATAGCTCTTATGTCTTGTGTTGCTGGGCGCAGTGGTTGTAGGCCTGTAATCCCAGCACTCAGGAGGCAGGGCAGGAGGACTGCAAGGTCCAGACCAGCCTGGGCAAAGTGAACAAGACCCTACTAAAAAGAAAATACAGACAAAAGGTTGGGGGTATGGCTCAAGTGGTAGAGCACTTGCCTTGCAAGTGTGAGGCCCTGGATTCAACACTCAGTACCAAGTGGGGCAGGTTTGAAAGGGTCTTACTGAGATTGTAGGTGTTTGGAATGCCCAGGAATGACTGGTTTGTAGTTCCCCCAATGCTCTCATTCCTTTGTTATGTTGTGCTAGTTTTCGTTGGGCTGATCAAGGTCTTCTCTTGATCAGACCTACTCAGTAAATAAATACATGCTGAGATGTTAGGAGATACACCTAGACTCAGAACTGATATTTTATTGGCTCAGGGCCTTCATTTTCCAGATGAAGGTGAGACTGAGACAGCCACAAATACAAAGTTCTAATGCCAAAGTGAGAAAACAGATCTTTATTCATCTAGTGTTTTCCAGCCTACCAGGGTATACACATCCAGAGTAAAAAACTGTTGTGAGGTGTCTGTAAATTCTCTCACATATACAGGAACCACAGTTATGTGTACCTTTGCTGTAACTTCCTGCTCTGTGCTGTTTCAATTAGAAAGCAGTTGGGGGGGAGGGGATGAGGTGATATCTGAAATATTATATCAGATACTTAGATTATAAAAGCAACATATGGACATGCTAAAATCTCAAATGGTATAAAATTAAAGATCCATTTTGGAAATTCTTCCACTTAAGAGCAGAGATACTTTTGGCAAGTTGCTTAATCTCTCTGTATCCTACTTAATCTGTAGAAATGCGTTAGCACACGTGAGTATTCTATTGAATGAGAAACTGTAATGTATTGTACAAGTCTTTACTGACTATACCTAGCTTATCTCCAGTTCTTTTCTGTCTTAAATGCTGCTGCAGTGTATGTATATATTTGCATTACTTATACTTTAGTCCATTCCACTGATAGAAGCATAGTGCAGTGTTGTGGTTATACGTAGTCTAGAGCCCAGCTAACTTCAAATCTTAGTTCTTCCTTAGTAGCTGAGCATTTATTATGAGTCACCAGAGATAGAGTGCTGAATAAAACACTGAAAAATCTCTTCATGTGCAAGACTCTTGGAAAAAATTCCTAAAAGATTTGCAGATTTGTCAGCAAGTGTGGAGATGTGTGAATGAGCATTGTACCTTTGGAAAGCTTTAACTAGTTTTATGTTACTTGAAATGTAGGTCTAGGTAATGAGATTGACAAGGGAGAAAGAGAAGGCAGATTGTAGTGTGTGTCTTTATACTATTCTGAGAAGTTCCTTAAAGTGTAAAATGATCAGACATGCATTGTAGCCAAAATGACTCAGATGCCTTAGTGTGAGGAAAGGGTAGGTGTCAGAAGGTCAATTAGAAAATTATTACAGCTGTCCAGCTAGAGTTGATAAGGATTTCAGTCATGGAAGTAGGATTATTTCTAAGAACTGATTACTTCTAATCTTTTAGAAGAAATTAAATTTTTAGCAGAGTCAATGAAGGGTTAGAATAATTTTAGAAATTGATCTAACATGAAAGATTTCTTTTGGCATTCTTTTTAATGTCTGATTCTAATCTTAATTCTCATTACACATTTTATACCATTTCCTTTCATCAGGGTAAAGTGGTAAAGAGGGTATTCACTGTGTAACAAATAAATCCATGTTGAGTACTTGTGTAGAGCACAATGGGGTTACAACTCTGAATTCACATTATTCTTTTTCATTGCTGAGCAGGATGTCATGGTGGCAGGTGGGATGGAAAGCATGTCCAATGTTCCATATGTAATGAACAGAGGAGCAACACCATACGGTGGGATAAAACTTGAAGATTTGATTGTAAAGGATGGGCTAACTGATGTCTACAATAAAATTCATATGGTAAATATTCTGTTTACTAGGGAATGCCATCTGATGTATGACACTTGATTTTCCTTAATGTATTTAGAAACTGAACTATAAGGTGGGTTCTATAAATGTTCATTTTAGCCATTCCACTTGAGGAAAATATTTTTCTATGCTCTTGCATCAGCATAGCTCAATTGTTAAATTGCCCCACACTTAAATACGGCATTTTCTGACTCCTAAAATAGCAACTGTGACTAATGCAAGTATTTCAAGATAAAGCAGGAATGAAAAGTAACCTAGTACAGAAGGAAGTATATGTTAAGAAACTGCCAACTACAGTTTTCTTGAGTTATGCAAATGTAACTAGTTTTAAAAATTGTACGTTCATCAGGGTAACTGTGCGGAGAATACTGCAAAGAAGCTGAGTATCACACGAGATGAGCAGGATATCTATGCTATTAACTCTTACACCAGGAGCAAAGATGCGTGGGAAGCTGGAAAATTTGGAGACGAAGTTATACCTGTCACAATCACAGTGAAAGGTAGAGGGCTAGTGTTCCAAAATAAATTTTAAAACCATTTTTTCTTGTTTTGATTTTAATTTGTAGATTTTATGTATTGCTGAATTTATGTTTATGTTTTAAATTAGTACATTGTCATCTGTTCCCCGCAGATGAACACACTGACACCTGCTTACGGTTAATAAAGGAGAAAACAGATTTCAATCCAATAATCCACTAAGTGTATTATTTTTGAGAAATGTGTTTATGACGGTAACAGACAACACATTAACTTAACTAAAAAGGGGGATTCATATGAGAAGACTTCTGGGAGCACCTGCCATTGCTGAAGTACGACTGTCAGCACCTTGTCAGCTCTGCACCTCAGGGATTCGAGGTGGACATTAAGCAGTATCAGGGCAGCTGTCTTGGCACCTCACTCCTACATGTTATTCTCTCAGGCTTCCTTACAGGGTTGCCTCCATCTCTAGGGGCACATCTACAGTGCTCTGAGGAAAGAAGCATTGCCAGCTCCAGCAGCGTAAATTCACGGTGCCGACTAATTTAGTCTAGGTTACAGCTCTCTATTCTAGGAGTGACTGCTGTGCTCTGGATGATAAAACAGCAGGGTTTATCCAGTGTTGGCTAGACGTCTCCCCTTAGTGGAGGGTCTGTGACCATAGAAGAGGACTAAGAGAAGATAATGGGATGAGGATGTGCAGAAGATTTAAATTTTGATAAGCTACTTAGTAAACTTCTCTACAGGATGCTGATATGATACAGAATATAGACAGTAAATTCTAGGTGAGCATGTATTCAGAATGGCTCAAGGTCTGCAGGCACATAAAGAGGCACAGACAACCAGGCACCTTATACAACACTTTCTTGCTGAATGACTGTTGTCTCGAGCGGCGATTACTTAATATGTAACTTTGTTTTAGGTAAACCAGACATAGTGGTGAAAGAAGATGAAGAATACAAACGTGTTGATTTTAGTAAAGTTCCAAAGCTGAAGACAGTTTTCCAAAAAGAAAATGGTTAGTAATAAGAAAACCTAAGAAAAGAATTGAATTAACATACCATTTATTCTTGGACTTGCCTCAGAATTTAAAAGAAAATGTAAAAACTCTAGATGTCATTTAACATTTTCAATGTATCAAATTGAAGAAGTAAAATTAACCAAATAATCTTAAAAGTATAAAGTTATTTAATAGTTTATACCTTCAAATATATAAATCCTAGGGAAGAGATTGTATAAACATGAGTATAGAATTGTTTTCATGTGCAGTCATGTCAAAAGTTTATTGTGAGTTGACAGTCAAGTGTACCTATTAGGTCTGTAAACTCCTTAAGGACTAAGGTGTAACTGGGCTATCTTTTGTGCCTGGCCTGGTATCTGTCCTCAGTAACTGTTGGCTGTTGGGATCTCAATGTTCTAAGTATCTTTTTGGGAGGGGGTGCTGGGGATCAAACTCAGGGCTTCACACATGCTAGGCAAGCTGTCTACCACTGAGTAGTTATGCCCAGTCCTACATTTCTAAATAAAAGATGAGTTCTGCTTCTGCAGTTGTGTAATTATGATCAAGTCAGTTATTTCTCCTTCCCTGATTGAATTTCTGAGTTCCAAGTTTGTATTGCAAGAGTATGTTTTAATAAGTTCAATACTTGGCTGTTATAGGGTCTCCATTGAAATTAAAAAGTTTTACCAATTTGTGTGCCACAAAATTCCCATAAGTGTAGTTCAGTTGGTTTTTAGTATCCACTGACATTTAACTTCAAGTGATTCTAGAGAATATCTGACTTTAACACTGATTTGTATCAGTGTCTCTATAACTCTGCTTATCTAACATAGACAGCAAGAAAAGCATGAACTAGTCCCTGTCTTTGAAGAGTTGTTCACTAGCATTTACCCAGTGCCATGGTTCCGTGTATCTGAGCTTGCTTTGAGAAAACTGTCACTAAACACTGACGTTGCTGGCACTCTTACAGTGAATTGTAGCCAGCTTTGTAAGAGTTTCATGAGGGAAGAAATCACCTATATCCATTTTGTAATTTTTTCATACATTAAGCGACCCAGAAAATACTCTGCAGGTATTTGTTCAATTGAACCAAATGAATTCAGTGAAGGAATGTTTTGATTTCATGTACATTGCTGCTTTCAGGCACAGTCACAGCTGCCAATGCCAGCACACTGAATGATGGAGCAGCTGCTGTGGTTCTGATGACTGCAGATGCAGCCAAAAGGCTCAATGTTAAGCCCCTGGCACGAGTAGCAGGTAGATGTTCTGACTTTGTTTATTCTTAAATGTCTAGGAGCGTTTCCTGAATGACTTTCCTTGTTAGTAACACAGTAATGGAGTTGGCTATTTCTGTATATAGATTTTGCTTTGTGGCAGAATTTAACTGATACACATTTCAGTTGAGGTAGAAACTCCTTTAATATTTTGGTTATAATTTGCTTTTACGTATGACTAAGAGTAAACGATGCATTTAAAATCTGCCTTTTTTTTTTGTGCAGCATTGGTGTTTGAACTCAGGCACTTTTACCTTTTGAATTACTCCAAAAGCCCCTTTTTTTGTGAAGGGCTTTTTTGAGATAGGATCTCATGAATTATTTGCCTGGGGCTGGCTTTGAACCTCGATCCTCCTGATCTCTGCCTCCAGAACATCTAGGATTACAGGTGTGAACCACCAGTATCTGCCCTGCTCTGCCTTCTTTATAAGGACTTAAACAGATGCTATTACTTTACAAACATCTTTAACTTCATTTTTTTCTTAGCATAGGTTATGGTGGTGTTTTATTTGAGATTGAACCCAGAATCTTACAGCTCTACCACCAAGCTAAATCCCCAGTCCCTAGGTCAGCTCTGTGCACTGTAGTCTGTTTAGTGCTATCCTTGGCATGGAAGTAGCATCCTGCCTGTTTTGATAACCAGAAGTATCTCGAGGCAATGCCAGTGTTCTCAGAAGCAAATCTTACAAAGTGCAGAATCTTAAAGGATCAAATACATTTACATATAGTATAGAGCTTAGGAAATGTGCATTTATAATTAGCTTGGCTTTTGCATGGTATATACAAAAGATAAAGCTTTTCTACAAGTACCTAAAGCCTTAATGATCTATTTTTTTTATAGCATTTGCTGATGCCGCTGTAGACCCTATTGACTTTCCAATTGCACCTGCATATGCTGTACCCAAGGTGAGAGAAAAGCGAGGCATTGTGCCAATTTCTGATTTGCTTCTACCAGGGTCACAGTTTTTAGATTAATTTATAGAAACACAGAATAGCTTGGTTTCAAGTCTTCCCACTTCTGAAAATAATAAGAACAGTAACAGAATAACCTACAACCTACCTCTTCATTAGAATTGATAAAAAGACAAAGTACTCACAAGTGTGATGCTGAATGCTCACACCTGATGTAGTGCCACAAATGGGGAGATTGGTGTGTTAAAGAAAAGGAAGAGCTAGTGGTCCCAGATTTGAAGTCAAAGGAGATAGTCATTTCCAGGATATGTCTCCATCCTGAAAGGGAACTAACGGTGGCAGGTCTTAAGAGTAAGGAATAAAACTGGACACAGAAAAACTCCATACCAAAGGCAGAAATAACCAAGTCTAAGGAAGCTAAGGGAGCACAGGCAAAGAAAGTGCTGAGGAAACTGAGGGGTTCAGAGATCTCAGAAGCCCCAGAAAATAAACCCTTCCAGAGAGGGCCTCACCCAAACAGTGGACTTCTGTGAACAGCACCCCAAAGAAAAATGGAGCTGGATCAGTAGTAAATAGAGAAGGACCAGAAACAATGGGGAAGGATCAGAAGTGGAGGGAAGGCTGATCTGTCTAGAGAGAGCAGATCTCAGGAAATAGAAATAATCTTCTTTGATTATAATGCAGTACGATGAGAAATGACAGAAAATGAAAATGTGACTGGTACCTGAAATAACTGGTCTTTTGTAGGTTCTTAAAAACGCAGGACTGAAAAAAGAAGACATTACAATGTGGGAAGTAAATGAAGCTTTCAGTGTGGTTGTACTAGCCAACATTAAAATGCTGGAGATGGATCCCAAGAAAGTGAATATCCATGGAGGAGCAGTTTCTCTGGGGCATCCCATTGGGTAGGTAAAATAAGAGTTATGTCTAGGTCAGTAGCTGCCTTTGTACTTCTACTTAACTTTAACTGCTTCATGGAATTCCTGTTTCTCTTGGTTAACAGTCCTCTTTGCTATCCATTCTTCATGAGGTGGACAATATTTCTGGTAGTATCTCACAGTGAATAAGTTGAAGAAACTATGCTTAAGCTTTTAGCAGAGCTGTGACCTTTCCTGAAACAAATGTCTTCAATTTAAGAAAAGTAGTTAACTGAGCTATGAGGAGTGGCTAATAAAGTTTTCAAGAAGCAAATTTAGAATAGAAACATTTCCTGGCTAGTTTTTAATTCTGTTCTTCATTAAAGAACCAAATGCTTTCTTAATCCTAGGATGTCCGGAGCCCGGATTGTCATTCATTTGGTTCACGCCTTGAAGCAAGGAGAATTTGGTCTTGCCAGTATTTGCAATGGAGGTGGTGGTGCTTCTGCTATACTGATCGAGAAGCTGTAGAAGACAACCCTACCCTGTGTGACTGGAAATCCTGCCAAAAACATGTGACTCTCCTGGGTCAGCTTATATTCAAAGTTTATTTCATTTTTTATTATTTTCCATCTTAACTTTTTTTAATGACATAAAATTACATCACTTTTGGAATCACAAATAAATTTTTCTTCTGCTTTAATTTGTGTAATCTTTAAAATCAAACACATTTCTACATATTGAATCTTATACTATATGAAATACCAGTGTGTAATTATTAGTGATTTACACTAGAAGCTTCCATGTGAAGGACAAATCATAATTTATATGTTTGAGGATTATGAAAGGCCAAGTGAATGTTACCTGAAATTCTTTGAGAAATGGCTGCTGTGTGCCGGTGGCTCATGCCTATTACCCTGGCCACTCAGGAGGCAGAGATCAGGAGAATTGCAGTTCGAAACCAGCCTGGGCAAATAGTTCGAGAGACCCTATCTAGAAAAGACCCTTCATAAAAAAGGGCTGGCTGGGTGGCTCAAGGTGAAGGCAAATAGTTCGAGAGACCCTATCTAGAAAAGACCCTTCATAAAAAAGGGCTGGCTGGGTGGCTCAAGGTGAAGGCCCCGAGTTCAAGCTCCAGTACTGCGCCAAAAAACCAATTTTATTCTGTTTAAATTAAATCAACATGCAAAAAGGACCCTCAGAAAAATAGGGTCTACAAAAAATTCTACAAAAGGATAAAGTAGAAATTAATGAATCAAAACAGCACGTGAGCTGAGTGTGGCAGTACATGCCTGCAATCCTCAGTACTTGGGAGGCTAAGGCAAGAGGATTGCAAGTTGGAGGCCAGCCTGAAAACTAAGACCCTGTGTCAAATTTAAAAAATATACAACTTTTAAATCTAAGAGGTTCCCCCCCCCAAAAAAACCTTTGTTTTTATTATTAAACCTTGTAGTACAAACTTGAAAAGTAAACAAAAAACTGGCAACAGACCACATGAAGTCTTCCCTCTCAAGTAGGGTGTAGAGCAGCGCTAATAAATGTCAAACTGTAAGCCATAGGTGGAAGTTTACTGTCACGAGAGAAGAGTACACAGCAAGGCCATAAAAACCAGACAACCACGCTGGAAAACACATGACTCCGTTCATGTCATTGTTACATATTCCAATACAGTTTAGTCTTCTGCAACAACCAAAAAAGTGGATCCTAGGACGTTCCTGGCAGCTCAGTGCAATATGGGTAGCTAAGGGATTGATGATCCAATTATGGAACAAAGAACAGCTTGTGAAGACAGTTTCCCTTTTTTATTCCACATACACTGTACACACAACTGGAGAAGGGCAACAGCTACTCCATTATTATTTTTGTTGTTCAGTGATGTAAGCAGCACTTATAAATGTTACAAGAAAAACCCTGTAAGCATCCAATCCAACCGATGAAGAAAATTCTTGTCTTCTCATGCCCCTCCCCTCCCCACACAGAGATCAAGGGCTCAAGTATTTAAAACAATTTACAGGCTTATGTACAAAAGGGATGAGATTCTTTTTCTTCTCTTTTCCTAAAAGGTGTTTTGTTAGAACAAAATTAGTCCCATCTTACTTAAAAGAGACCAAAAGCCAAAGTCGGAGGAAAAATGCTGTATTTGACTCAGAAAATAAATGCTCAATGCCTGAATAGATAAATCAGTAAGTCTGAAAGAAATCCGGAGAGAAAAACTGGAGCACCAGTTAAGTAAAAGGCTACAAGCATAGATGATTCGGTCTCAAGGAACAGTTATTTCTTATTCTAAAAAAACTTGTAAGAAAAAATATTAAATATCAATAGCTACAGTAGCAAAAAGTTCTCCAAGTGCATTTTACGTTCCAGGCTCTGATCTGAATGGGTTTACATACACCGGCTCACTTAGATTTCACACCAGACCTAAGACAGGCACTATTCATATCCCCAATATTCAGGTTAGAAAGAGAAACTAAAAAAAGAAAAATTTTAAAAATAAATTGAAACCAATGTCATTAGAAGTAAGCATGTAACTAAAATTCCATAAATCAAATTTAGTCCTATTTAAAGTACTCCATACTGGGACTAATATAAAATTAAATTCACAGGTTTAATGCAAATACTTTAATTGATGCTAAATTAAACAGGTATTTCTGATGTAAATTCTTAAAAAACCACAATGTCTAATGTGTAAGGCCCAACTTGAGTTCGATCCCCAGCACCACAAAAGAAAAATATACTTAGTATTTCTCTTAAAATGAGGAGATGGCTGGAGGATGGCTTGGGCAGTAAAGCACCTGCCTCCCAAGTGCAAAGCCTTGAGTTCAAACTTCAGTAATGCCAAAAAACCACAAAAAAAAAGAGCAATGACATCTACTTCTGTCATTATTAATTATACTGGAAGTGCTAATGACAATTTGTAATAAATAAAATTGGAAAGTCATTATTTACAGATGATACATTCTTAGTGAATAATACAAAAACAAGCAGCAGAAAATTCACCAGCAGTAATAGAGTTTACTCAGTATAGAAAATAAACTGAAGTATAATAGAGATTTCCTGTAGTGATTAAGAGTATGTTACAGGCACACCTATAAAGAAATAGATCAGTGGAATAGATGGGTGTAGAAACAAACCTGATACAGTTTACCAAGTAACAGCAATGCAGTCTGAATAAATGACGCCAGGTTAACTGGATATCATGGAAAAGGATGATCAAACAAAAAAAGCTTGTAGAAGAAAAATGTGATAAAACATTCAGACATCTGAATCTATCATATCTAGAATACAGAAAGAACACTTACAACTTAATTGAAGAGGCAGACGACCCAACAGAGAAGGCAGCAGAGTGTCTCTACAGTGGCATGCTATGATCAGATAGTGGTCAGTACTCTGTGTTGTGAGAGGATGAGCGACACAATGGACAGTCTCCAGAAGATACCCAAACAGTCAATAAATCTTTGAAAAGTATTCATCACCAAACCAAATTAAAAGCACAATGTGTACCAATATTTCCCACCACAATGGCTAAAATGAAACCACCAAGCACGGACAATAATGTACAGTAGCTGGAACTCTCTTTACACTGTTGAGCTTAGCATGAATCAGTATACTCACCTTGGAAAATGTAAAAACTTGAATTAAGTTTGGAAATATGCAACACTGTGATCTGGCAATCCACTCAAAAATAAGTATCCAACTGAAAAGTGTAACACATTTCCCGCAAACATAGATTATTCATAGCACTTCTATTCATAATATTCCCCAAATGGAAATAATTTAAATGTGCATCATCCATAAAAATGGATTAACTCTGATATGTTAGAAAATATACATAGCATTAAGGATGACTAAATTACACAAAACACTCTTTGTAATTCTCACAAAGAATATATTGCATGAATCTACTTGTATAGTTGGAACAAAAACTAAAATTAGTCCTGTTGCTAGATATTAGGCTAACAATTACTTTCAGGCTGGCAATTATTAGAAGGAAGTATGAGGGATTTCTAGGGTATGGTAGTGTTCTAGTCTTGATGTGGGTAGTTACATGTATGTTTTCTCTGAGAAAATACACTGGCATGTATGAACTTAGTTTGTGCACTTTTCTGCTTACAAACTATGCCTCTGTAAAAAGTTTACATTAGTTAATAAAGAAATAACATTCCCACCTAAATGTAATAACCAGTTAAAACTGGCTATGGAATGAATGGCTCCCTAAAAACAGCACCAAATTAAAAAAACAAACAAAAAAAGCCAGTTAAGAAATTCATGAGGATATGGGTAACTACAAAACTTCATTGGGCCAGGCGCTGGTGACTCACGCCTGTAATCCTAGCTACCCAGGAGGCAAAGATCAACAGGATTGCGGTTCGAAGCCAGCCGGGGCAAATAGTTTGTGAGACCCTATCCCTTCACAAAAAAGGGCTGGCAGAGTGGCTCAAGATGAAGGACCTGAGTTCAAGCCCCAGTACCGCAACAAGACACCCTTCATTAGTACTTACAATAAGTTCTTTGCCATTTGCTTCTATCATCACTTAACTTTTATCATTAATGTACTTCTAAAGTCAATGTTCCAATCTGAAATACCAATCATTCTAAAGTTAATCAAGGAGTATAAAAGGTGTGAACACTTGAAAAAGACAAGAGCATTGCAATAATGGATACAAAGCTATAATGATCTGATCAAGTGATACAAAATAGTCTATACCCCAAAATATATTAATGTGTACACATGCACGTGTGTGTATAAACTTTTGGATTTAACAATTGTGGATAGTGGGGGAAGGGAAAGTTTAACAAATCATGCCAAATGGTTAAATATTTAGGGAAAAATATACTCACATGATTTCTTCACACCAAGTACCAAAACAAATTAGGTAACTCCTAATTTTAACAAGATTAAGAAGTAAAGTCTTAGAAATGAGTAACAATATAGTTGAATATATGTCTGGCAAAGAATAAACACAGGCTATGAAAGAAATGACGTTTTGTTGGCAGGATTATAAATTGATGCAACAATTTTTGGGGCAGAATTTGGCAAAATGTATTGAGATTTTTCAAGAATGTACACTAACTTTTTCATTTGATAATTCTACTTTCTAAAATGTCTTTAGTGCATAATTGGTAATGTAAACAAATATTAAATACAAAAATGTTCATTGCTGCTTTTTTTGTGTAGCTAAAAAGTGGAAAATGCTGGATATTATTTAAGGTGAAAAAAGCATTAGGATGTTTTATTTACAAAATGAATTCAATATAGAAAAAATTCTAAGAAAAGATTATAATATGCCAAAATGATAAATTTATTTTCCAAAAGCCATTAAAAGAAGAAGCAAATAATAGTAAAGTCAAACTTAATATATTCAGTTGAAGAAGGCTAGGCCTGGGCCTGAACCATGATGGCTTGATAAAGAAGGAATGCAGGACACGTAGTTGCATGCTTTTGTAATTACTCCTTGTCAAAACACCAGTCTTCATCTTCTTACTAGTGATGGTATCTAGCCTGTGCCTGACTGTTGATGGGTGTTTTGCTCTTGTGCAATTTAAAAATGCTACAAGGCTCTAACAGTACCCAGGGTTAAAATAATCATTGTAAATGAATTCTCTGTACTTAGCACATATAAATAGATACTAATTAAATAAGAAAATCCGTAATTTTCAGCATTATGAGAATTCCTAAAAATGAGTAAGCAAGAATTAATTGATTTGCAAAGAAATTTAATCAAAGCTTCTAATTAGGACTGCCAATATAAATTCAAACTTGTGAGTCAATGAAAATATTTATTCAAACCTAAATGTAATATAGTATTACGAAGCTGAGTTAAGTAAATATTAACTGTACTTAGCTTCTTAGGAATAGACCATTGTCACATCATAAAAATTTCTTACAACAAAAATTTCTGTAGCAAAGTTTAGCAATTAAGAAGACATAATTTCTACAATGAAAACTGTTGTGTTAGAGTAGGATGGATTTATTTTTTTAAAGGCCAGTACAAAAAAATGGTTGAGGAAAGTGACTTTTTAACAAAATATACACCCGTAGAAAAAAATCCTAATACACTGATATTAAACAGAAAGCACTTATGAGAACATATTTTAATATCTAGGCACAGTTGGTCAGGTATTAATTATAATTTCTTACTATTCAAAGGTTAAACCAGTTCTTCAACCTAACTGTTGAGTGTGAGTCCAATACACAGAAGGCACCTCTTACTCCCCCTAAGGGCCTTTTGAGAGTAACTCATTGCAGACACACAGAAAACACGCTGTATCTAATTATAGACACAGGTGTTCAACACACCCTATCCAATCTGGAGAAACTAACATTAAAATGTTAAGTATGATCTGACTTGTCTTTTACATCTTACGATGGACATGTCCTTCCCAAAAGGACACCAGAAGATAATCCTCCACAAAAGCTTGAACACAGAATATAAGATTTAAATTAAATGTGCACTGGTCACTACTATGTGAAGAGTTCTATGAATTAGTGCAATTCTTTATATCCCCAGTGCTTAGGGGAGTTTATATATTCCAAAAAATCTCAACTACTACATAAAACTCAACTTTATATGGCTTAATAGTCTAACCACTTAATGTTCTGTAAACGATCTTAAAGGTTTATAAATGAAGGATCAGAACACTCAATAAATGGTCTAAAAAATTCTCTCTTTAAAACAAAGAGAACAGAATGACCAGAAGAAATAAAAGGTAAAATTTTAGGAATATAGTTTTTTTACTGCAATTATGAGAAGGAAGGGATGGTCAAGTACTGACTCTAGAACAAACTGTTGGTTTTTGATTCGATACTTTACTACCAATTGAGGTGGTTGTCATTTGTTTGTGCTTAGAGGCTATGTATTTAATGTCTTACTAAACAATCACTGAAGGTAATTCATAAGGATAAGCATCATTTCCCTCAAGGAGTGAGAAACTATTCCACATGAATAAGCCTCAGTGAGGGATTATAAGAAGTCAAAAACACAGTATAAGAACATTAGGTTGACTTAACCTCTATTTCAACAAGATATATACAACATTTACAATATGCAATTGTCAAAGCTATACAGATTTGCAGATTGGCTGCACTTACATTTCTGCAAACGTTTTCTCCAAAATAAAAATATGCCAAGAAAGTCTATTTACAAACATGAAGCTGCTTCAGAAACAGCACAATTTAGATATAAAGTGAAATTTTAGTATAATGAAAGTGCAGGTCATGTTTTTAGATCCCGTCAATATCCCATTCCCTACACTCATAGCTTAAGGGATACTAGTCTTACAGCTCCCACTGTTAAATGTTTAGAATGTTTTACTCATCGTAATGCAATGATAACAAAAATTTGTCCACATCCATTCCTGCCGGAAATGAACTAGGTAGCTTCTTTTTCTGTCAAAAAAAGAAGAAAAGAAAAAATAAACTCAAGTCCAGAGAGCTTTGTTAATAAATCACCCAGAACATTATATTGGGTTCTGCCATATACTGTTAAATTCTAATAGACTAAAAAATGCTGGCTATCTGAAGTTCTTTAGAGGAGTAGAGACAAACTATAAACCCAAAGCTAATTAAATGTATTTTAATAGTACTTCAGTAGTAGTTTATGGACAAAGACATAAATCCAGAGCATATGAACGTTGAATGAGATAAGACAGAACATGCTTTCTATGAAGTCTTCATTATTGTCAAGCAGTAAGCTTAGAAAGTTTTACTAACAGACTTTAAAAGTTAGTATATAAAGTACGAGGCACTTTATATACTATATATACTAGGTGTACCTAGTCTGCAAAACCACAAGGTAAGATGCATGGTAACTATATGCCAAATGTGATGAGGCTGGAAATCAGATGCTGACTTAATTATGGTTAGTCATCAAGCCAATAAGCAATAGATACTGTATTCAAATCCAGGCTTGCAGGGCAGAAAAAACAAGGGTTTGGGGTCTTTTGTTGTTGTTTTTACCCTGATACTATATTTCTTCTATGACATTTTTATAAATGGATTTCATTCATCAATATTACTAGTTCTCTACTGCTTTCCTAAAGACAATCATAGCTAAAGAAAAAACATTGGTAAATTTAATTTTTTGACTACTTCACCATGCTAACATCAATAAAGGCCATGGAAGAGAGAAAATGTGCAGAAAACCATCAGATCTAAGAGGAATGAAGTAGTGTGCTACTTAGTAATCCCATGTTCATAGTGGTTTCTCAGTCTTTCATGCCTCGTGTCATTCTAATGAAAAAACCTAGGTTTTATTAGAACAGAAACATTTGCTTTCCCAGAAACATGTTTATATATGCCACAGTAATTGTTTTTGAAAATGTTTTACCTAGGCATCTTCTGAGTATCACAATAACTAAGAAACACTGCCACTGAATATATTTTGTCAATCAAGACTCAATACTGTCTCAACTAATATAGTTGGTTGGCAAAAAAAGCTAATTTGAGCATTGAAAGAATGGGAAAGGTACGGTTTTAAAATTAAAACTTTCAAACTTGCCTTAATTTTCTTCTTTTTCATTGGCATTGATGAATTGGCAAGATTTTTACTAGATGTACGAGAGTTTCGTTCACACTCATCTAATTCCTCAATTTTCCGCTTTTTTGTGGCGCTTCTTGAAGATGTCCTGAATTGTTGTGTGTTGTCTTTTAGAGGAGTTGTGGAAGTAGTCCTAGAAATGGCTGCTCTGGAGAGAATCATCAGGGTATGGGCAGCCATGTTCACACTGTTTTCACTGCCTGTTTCACTGGCAGGGCTGCAAGCAGGCAAGTCTGGGGTGACAGGAGGGATCATGACTTTGGGTGCAGTACTGTCGTCACCAAAACGCCTGCTAGAGGGGGCCTTGATACCATCTGTAGGTTCCTCTTTATGTTTTTCCGCTGCTCCTGAGCCAGGTGTCCGGGATATGGGCAAATCACTATCAGTAACTCTACTTACTGGACTATGCAACTGAGCATCCTGTAATAGTTCTGCAGTATTCAAGGAAGTGGCAGATTTAGTTTGTTCTTGTTTTAGATCCTTCATAGTTATACCCATTGAAATGACATTTTTACTGCTTGATGTGGCTTGTTTTTTGGTCAATTCTTGCAGTGAAGCTATAGTTTTCTCATTGCGTAAACTCCCGTTTTGCTGCTGCCCAACAGACAGTTTTGAAGTGTCTGAAATTTTTTGCCTTTCCACATCACTACATAATTCGTTTTCCTTGTTGGCTGTTGCTTTATGGAAAGATTCAAGTACCATTTCTGTTGGTGAAACTTTCTTTTCTGACTGAGTTTCTCTAATGGAAGAATGCCGGCTAACAGCAGTTTCTGATTTAGATAAAATCTTGGGCATAGGAGTCTTCTCTCTCTCTTTTCTGGTAGCATTGTTAGAAGGAGGTTTTAAGGCTGAGGACACACTGGGTGTGTCAAGATGAGGAAAGGAAATGTCATTCTTTTCTTTGTTTTGGGATGCCATCTTGTGGTTTGGCCCCTGCATATTTGCCATAGAAGAACCAGCACTATCAAAACAGAGCACACGTCTGTGGCTTTCAAATGGCTTGCTAGATGGAACTGTATTCTCCACTGAGGGAGGAACTGTGATTTCTTCCATTTTTTTCCCAAGTTCTGTGGCTAAATTCTTGTCAGAAACTTCAGTTCTATCAAAACAAAAACAAATATTATTTCTAGAAACATAAATAAATCCTTTCTGGTTTTATTCTAAGCATTCAAATAATCTATGATACAAACCACTTTATGCTCACCTTTGTGCATGACATTCAACTGGATGATTTGATGAATCTGCCAAATTATTTACCTGTTTCCCTGGAATTACAGATGAATTCATTAGAAAAGAGAGACAGACTATGCTCCTCTGAATGAGGATGGAAACAAATGACAGTATTACCCTCTATGAGAAAAAATTTTAAATGATAACTATTGTACAAATAAAACATTATCATCTATTGGCTCTTAAAAGCAGCTTTTTTGGATGTTTTCCTTAGATTTTATAAGGTTTAACCATTTCCCAAAGTAATCTAGTGGGATTTCTTTTTTTGGGGTGAGATTGAGGTTTGAACTCAGGGCTTTGGGCTTACAGAGCAGGTGCTCTACTGCTTGAGCTGCACCTCCAGTCTATTTGTTCTGGTTATTTGGAGATGGGGTCTCACAAACTACTTGCTGGCCTCGAACCACAATCCTGAAATCAGACTTCAAAGTAGCTAGGCTTATAGGCGTGAGTCACCCACCAGAGCCTGGCTTTTAATGAGATTTTAAACTGGAATTGCATAGAACTTTTGATTCTAACAGGGTTAAATCTTTAAATCTATTAAGATGGATCTTTTCTATTTGTTTTCAACTTCAAAATTCTTTATGAGAGATTTCAAATTGCATTTTTACCATTTTTCATTAGGTTATTTCTTTTGTATCTTATCATTTTTATGATTGTTATAAATGGTACTACATTTAATAATTATTCATTGTTGGCATATGAAAAAACACATTTGGTAATTTAAAAATATCTGCCAACCTTCCTGAATTATTAGTTCTAGTAATTTCTCTTTTGACTTCCCAAGGTTATTTGTGTAAAAATCACGCCATAACACTTTTCTTCAAATTTTCACACCCATTTTCTTACTGAACTGTCTGGGACAATGGAAGTATAGGACTTGCACATGGAGATAGAATCAGATGTCAGTGTGTATGTGTATGTGTGGGGGCGGTGAGGAATGGACTATTTAATAAATAATTTGTAAACTGATGGAACTGGAGAACATCATCTTAAGTGAAGTTAGCCAGGCTCAGAAGGCTAAAAATTGCATGTTCTGTATGTGATTATAGACCTAAAACAAATGCAGTAATATTACAGAACATGGGTCACACTAAGGGGAGGCCATGCATGGGAGGGATAGGACAAGGGAAGGAAACTGAAAACTTGAATGTGGTTGATGTGCTCATGATACAAAAATGAACACAGAAATCTTAAACTGGCTGTGGCCACCATGGGAAGGGGACTGGGGAGGAGTGAAGAGAACTGGTAGAGATGAACCAGTTGGGGTTGTAACATATATATGCATAGAAACAACACAAGGAATCTCCCTATATAACTAACTATCTTTATCTCAAACTAGCAATATTTCGCTTATTAAAAAAGAAATGGTGGCTTACTAAATAGAAAGGTAAGAATGAGTATTCTTGTTCCCAACTAAATGGGGATGCTCGATGTTTGCTACAGATAGCCTTTACAAGCTTTTATCATGGATGTTGGACTTTACCAATGTTTTTTTCTGGTATTAATTTTATAATGGGATAAAAAACAAGCAAGCATCAAACTGAGGAGACATTTGTGGTGCTACTAGTAAAAGAATAACCTCAATTAACAGGAAATCTGATAGAGAAACTGGAAATGGATATGAACAACCAATACACAAAAGAGGAAGTACTGGACTGGCAGAGAGCCTCAAGTGGTAAAGTGCCTGCCTAGGAAGTATGAAGCTCAGAGTTCAACCCCCAGCACTGCCAAAGAAAAAAAAAGTGGAAGTAACTGATTATTTACAGTTATAAGACAAAATGTGATTCTTATTAGTGGTTAGAATAATATGTGTCAAATAAAAAAACTCTCGAGAAACATCTTAAAAGTTCGCTGGCAGGGGATAAATAGATAAAATAGGTTCATGAAAATGATGGATTCCCAATGGTCATTAAAAAGAATGAACCAGGTAAAAAACAGAAAAAGAACACAGAGTAGCTAAAACATGATACAATTTAAAAAGTGCCAATAAATCAAAATCCAATTAAGTCTACATTATTAGATGTATACCCTTTAGCTTAAGAAAAAGCAAAAATGTTCACAGCATTTAGTGAGTTCTCTGTATATATTCATTGCCCTTAAGACAACTCAGCCAAGTGAAGAAAATACCCACAATGTAATGTACTGTGTTGCAGCTTAGATATGAGAGAATTAAAGAAAAAACAAAAGTGGAATACCTACCCTAGTTACCACTTGTTAAAAACAGTTCCTTAGGTAATGTTACATTGGAGTGAAGTATGAAGGATAAACAGATCGAGGGTGATGAGGTGGATGAGAAAAGAATTCTAAGTAGAGAAACACCATGGGTAAAGGCACAGGACACATCAACAACCATAAGGTGAGTGGCAAGTATGGTTGGTACAAAGGGTCCATGTTGGGAAGTAGTAAGAGATAAGAATGGAGAGGCTGTATGTCACCTTGAGGTTTTTCTTCTCTCTCCTCTCCACTGTCTTTTTGTTTTTTTTTGAGACAGAGTCTCACTATGTTGTCCAGGATGATCTAGAACTTCTGGATTCAAGCTATCCTCCTGTTTCAACCTTCCACATGTTTGGCCTACAGGTGTACGCTACCATGACTGGCCAAGAATTTAAACTTTATCCTGTAAGCAATGGGGAGCTACTGAAAGTTTTTAGGCAGGGAAGTAACATATTCAGATTTCTGTGTATTTGAAAAAAGTCACTCAGCCAATGGATATAGGATGAACTAGAAAAACAAGAAGGGAAAGCAGGATAGGCTGCTACTAATATAATGTAGATGAAAAAAAAGATGAATATTTGAACTAAAAAAAATGTGTGCTAAGAGTGACTCTTCAGGTTTTTGATATGGATAAATAAAAGGTTGGGCTACTAATTAAAATAGGGAACATAGGAAAATGAGTTGTAAACTTTATAGCCCTACTACTCAAAGTGCTCCAAAGTCAGCAGCACTGGCGGTAACTGAAGCATGTTAGAAGCACTGCTCTTAACTCTCATACAGATATACAAGACATTTACTAAACAATTCAAAGTGATCAGGAAAAACGGGGAGTAAGCTTATCTTAGTTAGTTACAAAGAACAAACCAAGGAACAGTAGGCTTCTAAAAGCTTGAGGATTCAACAACAGAAACAACTTTATCAGAACCAAAGCTGTCTAACAACAGAATTGTGACATCTGATGCTACAAAACGTTAAGCAAAGATAGTATGATCACACTTGTTTGGGATGGTATAGGTATTCAAAACTAAAGATGCTTCAAACAAATGACCATGAAAATATAAAGTTGACACTGATAAATTAAAAAACAAAAAAAAGCCAAGTACCTGTACAGAGCTTGTTTCTTGGTCCCTGAGTCTTTTGAGATTTTGGAGGAATGGTGAATTGAGGGATACTTCTGTTGCATACAGGTGCTGCTAAAGGCATATGAAGGACCTAGAAGGGAAGAAGTTATTAATTATGCTACACTTAAAAAGCTTCTCTTCACCATTTTTAACTCGTAAATCTTACCTGCTGAGGAGGAGCAGAAAAGGTATTTCCATTCTGTCCAACCACAGATAAAGGGATCATTCCCACCATTCCTTGGAGTACAGGTTGCACTGGAGAAGCAATTATAATGGCGGAGCCTTAAAAAAAAACAAAACAAAAAACAATACCCATTTAATATAGTGCTTTGAAATAAATTCTATGTACAATCCTCCTTCCTGACAATTTACTCTCCTTTTAAAAACTGCCTAAATAAGAGTACAGCTAACAAGTGAAGACAGTCAATGTGATTATCAAGGTGTTATGGCAGTAAGACATGGCAAGTCAGAATGGGCAAAGCTACAGCCAGGAGATCATATTACCTCTTGACGCCTAGAAAGAACAGTGAAACTAAATTGAGTGGTGAATGTTTCAACTATGAATCTTGTAACAGAAAATTAGGATTCCAACTGAATGTTTATGGCCCAAGACTATGCTCGTAACTTCAAAATACTATATATATATCTCAATGATATTGGTCAAAAGGGTTCAGATATTTAGGTAACCATAAGAAATCACTGGAGGAAAATTACCATACCTACATGGTGCTTAGTCAGCAACCAGTGTCTGGGGCTATTATAATTTAGCCCTGCTCTGAAATGTGCTTTTCCATAATACATTCACTCACTACTCCTGTCAGACTGACTCCCCCAGTTCATGAGCATCTCCTGGTCTTTCAAATACCTATGTATGCTATGTGCTTCCCTTGCTTAAAGACTTCCTTCTTTAACTTCAATCCTATCTTATTTCTTTAAGCCCCACATTCTCTACCAATTCTGACCTCTCCTTTATTTCATCTGAGATGAAATAAAAAAGATGTATCATGTTTAATATTTAATTGCTAATATTTAATGACATTTCTTTGCGTGCCTATAATGTAAAAAAGGGGGGAGGAGAGCTTGAGAACCATTATATATGGAAACAGAGATGAGTGTGCCACAAGTTCTATCTTCCCGGAACGTATAATTGAGAATGAACAATATGACAGACATGTTAATCACAATAAAACAGCTTGTAATAGACCCAAAGAAGTCTAAAGATGGTAATCAATTCTAGAAGGTAAAAGACAGTGAGAATTTATCATTATTTCTTTTTAGGTTGTACTATGGATTGAACTTACAGCCTCTACCTCACCAGTCCTTTTGCTTTTAGTTTGCTTTTCAGATAGGATCTCACACTAACTCTGACCAGGTTGGCCTCAGACAATGACACTCTTACCTCTGCTTCCTGAGTAGCTGGGATTACAAGAGTATGCCACCTTATCTGGCTAGAAAGGGTTTTATGGAAGAAGAAATTCAAATTGTTTTTGAAAGTCTCTCTAAGTAGATGAGGAGTTCCTGGAAAATTACGACTATAAATGGAATTTTAAAAATCTCCCATAGGTGCTACCTCCTTTGTGTAACTGTCTCTTCTCTTAATGGTGTACTAATCTATTTTCTCTTTAAGAAAAAAAATCTTCTTCCTACAACCTTTGATTTTAATGAATTAGCTTTTTTCTCCTTTTCATAGCTTATTAGCACAAAGACTAAAAAGTAATAGAAAAGAAAAAAATTAAACCACTGAAGTCTATGGCTTACCAGGAGATTTTTAAAAAGGTATGACTGATTAATTAACTAGTACAAAGATCAGCCATAAGCACAAATTTCAGAGTATTGTCTTGAATCATCTATGTTTTATCCAATCAATGACTTTCCACAAGAAAATTCAATTCCAACCCAGAGAAACTCCCAAATTTGTTTCACAATTTTTTTTTTTTACAGTGTTGGGGATTAAACCCAGGGCCTTCACATGCCAGGCAAGTGCTGTCTTAGGCTGTCTCCAATATGCTCGTAATGTTACCTTGTGAAAAGTTTGGTGACACAGCCTGGTTGACAGCAAACACACTGTTTGACCTTGGTGGTGTCTGTAACTGAGGTGGAGGAGGTGGTGCAGTCATAGGTGCTGCTGAATTTCCAGGTAACACCATTACATTAGACTGACTAACAGTTGTTCCCAAGGTTGTTGGATCAGTCACACAGGTGGCTATCAGAATGTTATTTGAGTTGCCGAAAGTTGTGCTTGTGGTTGGCATTAACTGTATGTATCCTCCATCCTTGGAGACACATGGTGTAACACTGGTGGAAAAAGAAATGCCATCTTCATTCTGAGTGCTGTTTACTATGGAGTCCTCAGGTTTGATGACTAAAAGGCTCTGCTCCACTGAAGATGAATCTCCTACTTCAACAGATACAATAGCACCTGCAGTTTCTTCTGAAGATAGGCATTTAACGAATTCCGCATTTTTGGTAGGTGATTTAGGAGAAGATAAGATTATAGTTGGCAAGTTTTCTCCACTGATACTAGATACAGCACTGTTAAGTTCAGCATCTGAGGAAACAAATGGATCATCACTAATAATAATTTTGAGAGAAACAATATTTGATGCATCAATCTCTGTTGAGTTGTCACTAGAAGGTTTATCATCAGTACTTTGGGCCTCAGAGGGAGAATATCCCACTGAAGAAGCAACAGATTCTGAAGAAAGAGACTGACTAGTTTTTAAAGCATTACCTTCTGGAGGCACAAGTGCAACTTCCCCACAATTTCCATTTCCACCTAAAGAGAGAAAAATAGTATCTCCATCTTCTTTAGCAGAAGATGAAGGCTCTTGTGAATCTAAAGTAACTCTCTCAGACTTGTGTGACCCAGCTTTGTTTTCCATATGATTTAACTCAATAGATGCTGAATCATTAGATGGTTGTTTAACTGAAGAGATTGAATCTTCAAGATGAATTTCTAATTCTTGTTCAGGTACATTTAAACCTGAACTTTCAATAGTCACAGGTAATATCTTATTTTGAAGTGAAGAATTATCTTGGCAATTTGATAGTTGTTGTGATGCACCTGGTGATATTTTATTAATTTCAATTTTACTCTTGAGAATTTCACTAGAATCTGGTGACTTGGAACTATGGAAATTAGTTTTAAGTCTTACTGTATTATTAGAATTTTCACAAATTGGACTTCTTTTAGTTTGCTTTCCGGCTAATGGAGTATTGGGGGACAAAAGTTGAGAAACTTTCCCAGAGAGAAGTAAGCCGTCGTTGTTAGTTTCGCCTCCAAGTGAAACAAATGAAGTTACTGGTGTATCAGGCTGATCAGACTGTGCTTGAGATGCACTTGGCATCCCTGGCGACAGACAATTCTTTTGAACTTCCATAGGCGTTTCAGCTTCAGTGGGCATCTGACTGTTGTATAACTCAGCACAATGTTGGTTACATGCACCATCAGAATTTCCTCTTTGGTTAAAGTCATTCAAATTAGACACAGACTCAAAGGTAATGTCAAGGTTACACTTCTGTTCAGCTTGTACAGCTGTTTTAAATGCCTTTCTCTGGATACTAGAGTCTATTTGGGAAAATTTTTCCTGGGCTTCCTGTTTAAGGATTTCATGGTTGTGACATTCTTCAAAGCACTTAATGCATCTTCATTGTGATAGGATGTGCAAAATGGCAGCTGACCAGATTGACCATCTGCAAAATACCAGCATGATGGAAAGATAAGGTAAATACGGTTAGTTTCTGAAGTAGCTGTGTTTACTGCACAGTGTATTTTGCCAAGGAAGTACTACTTTGACATACCAGTGACGTAAGTCTGATACACTCTTATTCCCATCCTTTGAGTATCAAAAAAATCTACAATTACTTTTCGAAACAAAACAAAAAACAGTAAAAACAACTGGCTCCAAACAGTAGGAGTAGCAGCAGTAGCAGCAGTATTGTTTTACTACACTGACTTTTCAACTTCCAATTTCTATTGACCATATTTTATTGGATATATTCTTAAAAGTAAAAGGGGGTTCAAGATAATTTTTCATGATCAATACTTGATCTGTGTGTGCTCTTTAACATTCAACACACATTTACCGAAGACAAACCACATGCGTGGTTCTGGAATAAAAAGATGAACAATCTAGTCTCTGATCTTGGATACATCAGTCTAGTAGAGAAGCAGATATGGAACAGAAAGATATAAAGCATGGTAGAAACTGTAATAGTATGGAATAAAAGGCACCTCTGCCTATGGGACAAAGAAAAGATATTATAAAAGAAGTACTGTGTAAGGTGATCTTGAAAAATAAGGGACACATGATAGATGGAGTAAGAGTTTCAGAAAACACAGCTATGAAATACTGAGTCTTAGAGCATTCATTATTTAGTACAGAAAACATCAGTTTGAACTATGGAAAAATCTAGGGAAAACCCCGAAAAATGTATGTCTATTATACCACTGGTGACACTGGTAAAGTACCAGGTATAAAGCCCATTCGAACCCTTATCTTAAAGGATAATAGGGAAAATTATATTTATGCCACAAAAATTCAGGAAGCTATTATTATTAATTTAAAAATGTTTGAAGTGCTAGTTTGGAACTGGGGGCCCGAGAGAACTGAGAAAAGGGATTTTAAATTTGGTTTTGTGTATGCTGAAGTTTAAGTGAAGCGTTATCTTCTAGACATAACATATACGGTGAAAAACACACACCCAATATTTATGGTTCACCCTAAGAAGAAATGGAGGATTGAGCTTGGGTGTTGCAGAAGATTTCAAAGGAGGGAGATGTTCTAAAACTAGTTTGTAAAGATAAGATGTGAAAAACTGGAAGCCATTAGGTTTTTTTTTTTTTTTTTTTTTAAACAGGGTGGGAAGACGTAATAACATTTAAAATATATGGCATAGTATTTGACAGACTAGAGGTGGTATTGAAAATGCAACGTGTAACTAGAAGGATGATGGTTTATTATCCTGGTTTAGGATGACTGCCGTCTCTAAGGACTAGGATGCAGGAGCAGACAAGGAAGACAAGGAGGAGGTATGAAGGGGGGCTTGAAGTGCTGCAGTGTTCTACCTTTTTTTACTTGGGAGATGATCAGATGGGTATTTGCTTGATTTGAGTGACTAGATTTAATTATTCAATGAGCTACATTCATCTTGATTATGTACTTCTGTATGTGTATTAATTTCACAATAAGTTTTTAAAAAAATTGCACAAACACTTTATAAATCTAAAATTGGCTTATTTATAGCTCTTCTTTAGTAGTGGTTACTGTGGGCTAATTTTATGTTAAACTTGCATGCTACGAGATGAGACTACAAAACACTGACTTAGCACATACAGCATAAATATAAACTAAAACCTCATAAATCCTCAAATTTAAGACTATCACTATGCTATACAGTTTCCCTACACCAGTGAGAGACAGAGGCTGAGCAGTCAGTAAATTTACTTACTAAGAGTCAATGACTCTATCATATATGAACCTTAGATTAGGGATTAGAATTTGTACTTTAATGAAATTATTTTGCTATAGCCCTTTGTCCAACTGATTGATAATACTAATATTAAAAATTCACCTTTTAATCAAAGTACTAAAGACTTTGGAATAATTTTTCTTAATGGAGAGAAAACCAAAAATGTAAAAATGACCTTCCAATTTAAATATTTTCTGCCTTTGAATTTTCAAACTAAAAAACATTTTGATTGATGATAATAACAAAATCAAATTCTTACCAGGTTCTTCTGTTTCAAAAGAACTTTTAATTGCTAGATTATTTTCTTCTGCTAAAACTATATTAGGATTGGTTTCCATATGCTGAGTGGAAATGCTTTGTGATGTATTTTTGTTATTCTTTGTTTTACCTGTTAAAAGGGAACAGGAAAACAATTAAATGACCAAAATAAAAACAAGCAGGACGAACACCGCTTGATAAAGGTCAAACAACTATTAAGCTTTAGTTTTAATCTTTTTTTTTTTTTTTGGTATTTTTCACACAATGCTTTGTACATCATTGACAAGTACAAATACAAAGATTTCCCCACTACACTAGTGCTGCTTTTGTTTGTTTTGTTTTGTTTTGTTTTTTTGAGACAGGATCTCACCATATTGCCCAGGCTGATCTTGAACTCCTGGGCTCAAGTGATCCTCCTGCCTCAGCCTTCTAAAATGATGGGACTACAGGCATGTGCCATGTCGCCTGGCTAGGACTGGTGGGTCTTAAACTTGCACTGGTATCAGGCTCTTATGGAAGGCCCAATAATTTGCATATTTAACAAATTCTCAGATGATGTTGATACTGCTGGCTTAGGGAACCTACAGTTTGAGAACTACTGGATTAGACCACAGGATTGAGAGCAAAGGCCAGTATTTGTACTCCTTTTGTATCATTCACTTGTATTTATCTGTATTGTGGTGAGCCTCAATACTGTCTCTGTTAACTGGCCAAAAGGCCCACATAGACAAAAAATAATACTGTTCTCCATTTTTATACTTGAACTTTGCTTAAGTAAAAACAACAAAGATAACAAAAAACCCTCTATATGCCCACATAGTGTTTGCTTCAATAAAACAGAAAATTTCTCAGATGCTCTGGAAAATACTGCTTTACTCTGGTTAAATTACCAAAGAACTGGAGAAACTTTTTCTTCTAACTGCCTTGAAAAAATGGTCTTACCATAGTCAAAGAGATCAAAGAGTGCCTGAAATGCTGGGTCTGATTCTGTCTGTTCCAATATATCCTGTATAGCTTCTTCAGACATGTGGATTTCACTCTGCAAAATAAGAATGAAGTAATAGCTGAATATGGCTTAATACCAGAAAACTAATTTACAGACATTTGATATTTTTGACCTCTTATGTAGAAGAATTCAAGAAAATTTCTTCTGACTGTAACAATATTCTCATGCATAATGAAACAGTAAGACTAGAAAACAGAAGGTGAATGTTCCTTAATTCCACTTCCTAGAGTTAATCACACTGGTGAATATACATATGTACATATTTATACACACACACTCTTAAACCTTAAAATACAATATAGTGACTATACCTGTGTATATAAATACAAAGGAAATCATACTACAAATTCCATAGTCCTTTCTCTTCACACTAGGTTATCGTAGACTGCTTTACAGGTTTTTCAGTATAAATCTCTCTCATCCCTTTTTATCTGTTCTTCCATCTATTCATATTCAATGGTTTCTTCAAATGTTGAATAATTCTTGCTTATCTACTCATGTTTAAAAGTAGCATGCTAAAAGATACCTACAAGCTCTGTGAAAAAGTGGTAGTGAGGTTCTCAACTACATGCTAAGCTGTAGAAAAATACAGCAGAACCCTTGTTTTTTTTTGAGTTTCTGGGGTTTCAATTCAGGGCTTCATGGTTGCTAAGCAAGTGCTCTACTGCAAGAGCCACGCCTCTAGCCCTGTATTTTTATTCTTTTTCTCTTGAGCAAGTCAGGTAAGTCAGATGTATGGCTGAAAGAATTTGTGACTGGCAAGTGTTTCTGGGAGAGATTAAGGAAAGAGGAATTTGCTTCTTAATTTTGTAGCTTGCATCCTGCTGGTAGCCTCACCTGCCATTTGTTTTCAGAGTTACTAGTACTACTTTTTAAGCCTTTTGAGATTTTCAGGCTATAAATTTACTACTTTCTGAGCTTTACATTTACTGATTGACATAGAACCCTGGATCTTCTAGGTCTGGGATTACTTGTCCAATTCAGCTCCTAAATACTGTTTTTCTGTTTTGTGCTTTCTTTAAGCCTAAGACTTAAAGAAAAATCTATTGCTTTTACAAACTGTTATTTAAATCTGAATTTTCACAAATATATATTATGAACAATCAGAGCAGCTAACAGAGTGCCCTCATTATGGTAAAGCATATGTGAAGAAAACAGAGCAGGACTTGCAAACTATAAAAATTTGTTTGCTAAATGCTAAGATAGAAGAGGCTTTAAAAGAAGTACTGGCAGAACTGGCATGTAGGGGAAAAAAATTCATTGGTTTTTATCCAGAATTCACCAACCAAAAGAAAACCTCCTATAGTGAACTCACATAGGAATACCAATAAAAGTGTTTACTTTGTTCAAGACTCTAAATAAAAGGATGCACTCCAGTCACAATCTCAGCTGCTCTTCAAAAATCCTTATTTGTACATGGACAAATCTTGATACCCATAGTATTAAATTCCTCCTTTACCAACTAGCTCTCTTTTTTATTGATCATCACTGACTAGACACAGTGACTATAGCTCCCTTTTATCTTCTCTTGGCAATAAGCTTTGCACAAAATATTCAGTTAGCAACTTTCTTTTTACAAGTTTCTTGTGCATTTTATTTTCTTTAATATTATTTGGGTTATTTATCTTTAGCAAACTATTTCATGGTTTCTTTTGTAGCCATGTAGAACTATGATAAACAGTGTATAGTATCACTACTTATTATATAGAAAAATACCTGTGAGTAACTCTTTAAGTATTAAAAACTTAGAAATCCATGATTAATTTTTGTATGGCTAAAAGAGTTTTACTGATATCTGGTAAAAGTGATTGGTTATTAGATGGGCTAGAAATATCTTACTGTTTTTACCAGTTATATCAATAAAATATAAACCGACTCTGAACTGTCACTATTCAAATATGTTCAGAAACAGATTGGGTAATGAAGAGAACTCATATTTTAAATGAGATTTTATATATCTAAGCTTTTGGCAATGGATCTGAAGTGAAATCAAAATTTTGCAGTGATGGTGAGCAAATCCAGGGCCTTGAGCATGTTAGGGAAGCAAACTACCACTGAACTACTGTCCACACACCCCCAAACCCTGAGATTCATAACTATGAGTATATTACTACACAACACACACACCCCTCACATCCATCCATCCCTACCGGAAGTCCCAGGAATTCATCAATTGAAGTTTCTGGCTCAGTTGGGTTGCTATCTGTCTGCTTAGGAACTTGAGCAATATTGTTATCACTGCAACACAGAAAACAAAATCTTTAGCATAGTTATACAATTAGGCAAAAAGAATTAGGGATTTTAAAACACAGTTTACCTAGTCAAAAATTTATTAATGTTTTCTGCAAGCTTTTCTTGAAGAGATTTGTTGCTTAATATTTTTTCTCGTGCATTTTCAATAACCATTTGCTGGAAAAGAAAGTTAATATTAGTTAAAGGACAAGGAAGAGTATTATGTTATTTATTTGAAAAACTACTCCTCTGAGCTGAGTGAGACTCAGAAGTTCTGGTGTATTCCTCTGTATTAACACCTGACAAAGCATTTTACAATTTAGAAGTTATCACAGCTGTTTAGCAACTCTTCACAGCTCAGAATGTAGTTCTCCACTTTTTAGCTCATCAAGTTAGTTTTCTTAAAAAAAAAATAATAATTTGGCCTCAGTAAAATGTCTGTTATATTGTATTACCTAGCAACAGCAAAGAATTTAGTTTCCTAAATACACCTATGTTTCTTATTTGGTGAACTGTCCATGTATGTATCTATTCAGCATCTTACACATTCCCAAGGCAATTCTGCTGCAGTCTTACAGAAATACTGCATTTTGTGCACACACTACACACACACACATCTGTGCATATGCCAGCATTTTTAAACTCAGGAATATTTCAAGTTGCATAGTTTAGGAAGGACACTTACTTTTTCTACTGCAAATGCATTTGGATCCTGGAAATTCCGTATCGTTGAATGAGGCCCAGACAAAGTTAAGCTTTTCCTTTGTGATTCACTGAAACACATTTTAAAAGCTTGTCTTTTATCTACTTGTCTAACAGATTCAATAATAACTGCATAGACACACACAAATTTTAAGATCATCAGAAATAATGTTTTCTCTTTGTGTAAGAACAAAAGACAAAAGAGTAGAAAAAGTATTACCAGACATGGACTCAGAAGAAATGAATCTGAGGTCTAGCTTTATCACTAGCTCTGACCCTCTCACCAACCTTATAATGGAATAAGAACAGCTGCGTTACTGGGATCACAGAAGAACGGCATGTAAGAAGTTCTATGCACAGACTATTAAAAATAGTCAAGCGTTCTGTAAATATCAGGTATTTATAGTTCTGTTTTACTCTTTTATGTAGTTACATGACAAAGTTTGCAATCATGGTGGCTTATAACAAACGAAACTTACTCTAACCAGAAAAGAAATCCCTTTAAAACTTTTATCTCTTCTATGAAATATTTTTCAAAGAAATACAAGCTGAGGACAGAAAGATCTTTTCTTGAAAAATGTTTCTGAAATCATTATATCAATTGATTTAAAAGTTAAATATTTGTTTGAAGACTGGAAATCTTACAGTGCTATTTATATTCATATAAAAAATTTTAAAATATGAGCCATCAATTGTAAGATATACTACTGTTTTGCATACCATTATAGAAAAATACACTTCCACCGAAACAAGAATACATCATTGACTGAAGGATGCAACTCAATTTCAAGGAAATTTGGGAAAAAGACAGATGTTTTAGAACTATGTCCATTTAATATAATAGGAGATAATCCCAAGAAATGTAATCTATTCTTGCTACTTTACTCACAATGTAAATTTCCTGTTATAAATCTTTAAGTAGTTAATAGTAATGTGTCATCTATAAAAAACATTACCTTTTGCGTCTACCAGGAGACATTAAACTGGCGTGAGTTTTCCTTTCCTGAGGACCAGGAATGGTATTTAACGCCTCTCCAGCTGTATTTCAAGAAAACAAAACAGTAACCTAAGGACACCGAATCATTTTATAAGCTTCTAGTGCGATAACAAGCATTAAATACTGATTAATATTTTATATTAAAGAAGTAAGCATTACGAAGTGCTCACTATATGCAAGGAGTTGTACAAGATATTAAGATTAACACGATATTTTCAATCCAGGAAAGAGAAAATAAAAAGATTAACAAAATAGTCCCTATGCCTAAAGTTCTACAGCAATATACAAAATATAGTACTTGGCACAGACATGGCAGAATAATAAAGAGTGAAAGAAGTATTAACTCAGTGCCAAGCACAGACTAGGATTTGGAGAAGAGATGGCTGTGAGGGAGACCTTAACAGACAGTAGTGAATCTCAGCTGAACAAAAGACTGGACTGGGAAGTGAGCTGATCCCTGGATCCTAATCTGTGTTTTCACTATACAAAGGCATGCAATATGCAAGCTGATTCACACCATCGCTATGGTTATTTCTAGCTCTAAGATTAGCCAGGAGGATGCAGGTTTTCAACATGTAGAGAAGGAAGTGAATTGGAAAGACATTTCTTATTTGAGGACAACAGAACTGGCATGAACAAATGTAAGGAGGCAGTGAATTATAATGTATAATCTATTTAAAACAATAAGGGTCTTTTTCTTCCCCTGTTACTGGGGTCTGAATCCAGAGCCTTGTGCTTGGTAGGTGGGCACTCTACCATTTGAGCCACACTCCTAGTCCTTTTTGGCTTTATTCTTCAGATAGTGTCTTGCAGTCTGGGGCTAGCCTTGGACAGTTGTCCTCTTAACTAGGGCCTCCTGCATACTGGGATTACAGATGTGCACCATCGCACCCAGCTTATTTTTTGAGATAGAGACCTCACTAACTTTTTTTTGCCCCAAATTGCCTCGAACCACAATCTTCCCAATCTCTGCCTCCACGTAGCTCGGAGGCATAACCCACTGCCCTGGCCTATTAATGCCTAAAATTGAGAACTAGAAGAGAGTTCAAGATGGGACTTCAGTTAGATTACAAATAAGAAGACCCCAGCGCCGGTGGTTCATGCTTGCAATCTTAGCTACTAAGGAGACAGAGATCAGGAGGATCTTGGTGCAAAGCCAGCCTGGGCAAATAGTTCATGAAATTCTATCTAAAAAATACCTAACATAAAACAGGGCTAGTGGAGTGGCTCAAATGGTAGAGTGTCTGCCTAGCGAGTGTGAAGTCCTGAGTTCAAACCCCAGTACCACACACACAGAAAGAAATAGGAAGAAACACAGATTAAAATGACTCCTAGATTTTGCTTATTTTGGGGCAAAGTTACCTAAAGTCTGTTCTACTTCTAGCTTCTCTCATGTCTTTTTTTTTTTTGACCATCATTCTGTGCCATGAGTATAAACATATTAGATCATCTCATTTACGTAGTCTGATTAACAATAAAATCTATGAGCACAAAAATAAAACTTACTAAGTACAGCCTCTTGTGACTGTGAATGGTTAACCATGACAAAATTTGACTTCACTGGAGATGCAAATTGGCCAGCTGGCTTAACAGTTTGTGTAGCTACCAAAGGAGAAGTGGTAAATTGTCCCGAAACATAAGGTAAAACCAGTAACTCTGAACTGACGGCAGTTGCTTGAGATGCAAGCCTTCTCTGTCGTTTGATTTCTGCAATTCCATTTCTTGTTCGTGCTGAAACACATGAATATTATAAAACTAACTTAGTATCAGAGTGGTGTGGGGATTTTAACAAGTCAATATGATGCACAACTAAATACTATATAGCATGTTAGATCTACAGATTAAAAGCTGGCTTTTAAAAATATGAGCTAAATTTATGTGATAATTTCATAAGAAGCAAATTAAAATGAATACATTCCAACTTTATAAAAATTCAAGAGTATATCTGTTCTGTAATAATGCATACTGATAATACCCCTACAAATTAAGAAACTCAATCTTAGAATGAGGATGCTACTACATGAGAGTCAATGGGAAAACACAGGGAGTACTTAATATACAAATAATTATAAAAACATTATTATATTATGTACAATACATTTGTGATTATGTATTTATATGCAGCTGCATATTATAATTATATACAATGAAATAAAAATATAACATAATAACCATAGTTATTAAAGGTAGTTAAAACAAAATATGTACCTAGCACACATGTGTTGTTAACTAATATGTTCATCGGAAAGCTAGATTGAGTTGGAAGTAACTCTGAGCAGTGTTTGAAGGTGAATACCAACCTCTCTGATGGGCGGCAAACCCTGGGGAACTTTGCATGCTCCTAACAAGTGAAACAAAGTAGTTATTTGTTAAAAACTTCTGTTGCTGTGATACATTGTTTAGTCATACTTTTGAGTAAAAAGGTTAACAGATCTCTCAGACAAAAATCTACACATTATTTGGGTAAGCAAGTCTGATTTGCTTTAGGAAAAAAAAAAGTGGTACAGAAAAGACTCATATGACATATTTTTAATGATGAAGTTTCTATCAAATTCAATATATAATAGAGTGCTTGGACATTAAGAATACAATTTGACTTGATTTAAGGAGCTCTATGTATTTAAGTAGGCTATATACAAAGTATAACATTTGCAATTAATTTCATAATTATAGATTCCAAAAAAATCCTGATTTCACATATATAATACTTCAGAATTACAAATGTTAAAGAATATCCTGCTTTTATGAAATTATTTTACCCAACCTATAAAGAAGGAGAAGAGCAAATAGGAAAACTCACAGTACAAGCTACTTGTTCTACTATGAATTATAGTTACCGACCCATGTATTTGGTAAGCAGTCACAGATCCTGTTTCCTTGACCTAGAAAATGTGTCAATTAAGTCTCCATTAACTTAACCTACTGAAGTACATGAAGCACTTTTAATATTTAAAACAACTTTGGAGAAATCTTGAATAAGAATCCTTTCATTTTATGTAATGGTCTGTCAATAAAATAAAACATACGTGGTGTTTATAAAATACTAAACATTGAATACCTTTGAAGGTTATTTGCAAGATCAGAAAGATGAGCCAGGAAAGGAAACATAAAGACAAAGACTATGAGATCCAGGTGACGGTGGCTTACTCCTGTAATCTTAGATACTTGGGAGGCTGAGATAGAGAGAATCATGGGTCAAAACCAGTCTAGGCAAATAGTTCACAAGACCCATCTCCAAAAAAAAAAAAAAAAAAAAAACAAAAAACAAAAATGGATTGGAGGTGTGGCTTAAGAGGTAGAAAGCACGCTTTGCAAGTGTGAATTTCAAACCCCACTCCCACCAAAAAAAAAAAAAAAAGATGTCATTCAGAGTTAGGATGAAAGCATTTGGAGCAATTTTAGCAGCTTAAGAAGCTGAAAATAAGGCCTCTGCTGAAGTTAGATAGGGTATTCACTTGTAGCTTTTGGAGGAAGGATAAGATAGTGATTTTTCATATAACTGCATCATTAAATAAGAACTGTTATAAAATTGGCAGGTCTGGCATTGTTCTAAGGGTGCTGAAACTGGAACATTAAGGATGTGAACTATGTAGTAGGTAGATATTAGTACCATAAGAAAATTCTAAAGGCAGAAGGCTTCAGAGTAGCATTATTCTTCTTTACATGGAAAGAACCACTGGGCATGGATTCAACTCTAATTCTCTGAGTAGATAATGAAGAGGCAGTCATGTAAGGGAATTCACAAATGACTGGGATTAGGAAGTTATATTCTAGCTTAAGATCTACCTGTATGTTGCTATGGAAGCTTGGGGATGTCATTAAAATATGTATCTTAATTTTCTTAATTTTTAACATTTTATTGAAAGTATACAATTTATTTCAAATTATTCTGACCAAAGACAAAGAAATATCAATAATCTCTAGACCAATTTCAAAACTAGGTGTTACATGAATGTACTAAGTAGTTCTTAAGATTCAAACACAAAGAGTATTTGCATAAAAAATCATGCACATTTTAGTAAGCTTAGTACCTGATCTGAGAAAGTGTGTGGTCTAACTTCTTCCACAGAGATGACATTATTGTTGGGACATCATTTGATGTTTCTAAATCATAAGAGGAAATAAATCCAGTTGGAGAAAATTCATCATTCAGTTTGAATAAAGTCATAGAGAAATCACGGAAAAAACTTGTCCCTCAGTTGTTGATGTTATGTTGGAAACTGAGAACAAAGACTGTAAAATGGCCTGCAAAGGTACCATGAGGCTGCTGTTGTCTTAAGCTATAGGGAATCAGATACAGTAAGAATGGGAACGGACATCTGCATAAATGCAAGTTTTTCAGCCAATAATTGCATATCTTCTTTGTATTAAAAAGAGGACACACTACTTTTGTGATCCTTTTTCTATCAGATATCATGTAACATTTGCAAGTGAACTAAAATAAGTTTATTTATAACAAATAATTATCAAAAAGGTTAGGTAAACTACTTGTAAGACAGGAATTTTAATTCTGATATATGATCTGAAAGTGAATTAAAGTAACTGGATTTACAACAAATTATCATTAAGGTTATGTAACAGCCTTTTTTTTATTATTACACTTTATGCTAATTATTCTTTAATGCTAATTACTTCACTAGTGTTGTAAGCTACAGAAATAATCAATGTTAGAGAATAAACAATGAAAAATTTCCCTCTAAATCATAATTAATTTAGGCAATAACTACTTTATTTTCTGGTAACTATAAGCTAAAATTTTGTGACTAGATCACGTGTCCAGATTGGATTACGGCTAAAATTAAAATATCAGTTTGAACTTTAGCACTCATAGAATACCTCTTCACCAGCATAGATAACCTAGAGTTACAAGATTTCTTTTTTGTTTTGGGCAGTACTGAGGTTTGAACTCAGGGCCTCAAGCTTGCTAGGCAGGCAATCACTTGAGCCACACCTCCAGTAAAGTTTTATTTCTTTTTAAAATATTATTTGGAGTTACAGAGTTCTTTTTATGTGCTACTTAATATAAATCCCAATGAACTGTATTTCTTGGTCAAATTTATCTCATCATGACTGAGACAAAGTTTTCTGAAAGCATCCATGAAACATTTCTTCTAAAATTATTTCAGATGAAAAATATATAAAAGACCATATAACAGACAAAAAAAAAATTCCCTCAACTTGAGTTCTTACCTTTTGCTTTCATAGCTACATATTCATTCAAAATTGTTGTCAAGTTTTTTCCAAATAAAGACTGAAAAGAAAAAGATCAAGCATTACCAAAATCATGTAATTCCACCACTCAAAAAATTAACCAAAGGCTTGGGCTGCAGAAGAGCTGATAAGGAAATGGTAAAGAAGCAGATCATCAAAAATGAAAACAGTCACTGAAATTCCAAGTCTGCATCAAATCTTCTAAGAGTAAAGCCCTTGTTGCTATGCATGGTGGTCCACAACTGTAATCCAAGCTGCTCCGAAGGTACAAATAGGGAGAATCACGGTTTAAGGGCAGCTTGGGCAAAAAAGTTAGCAAGACCCTATCTGAACTAATAACCTGGGTATATGGTGTATGCCTCTGATCCCAGCTATGACAGAGGCATAGGTGGGAGGGCTGTAGTTGGACTTGGGCCCTGAGGAAAAAACTCAAGATCCAACGTGAAAAATAATTCAAGCAAAAAGAGTGGGAGACATGGCTCAAGTGGTACAGTACCTGCCTAGCAAACATAAGGCCCTGATTTCAAACCCTAGTACTAACACCAAAAAAAAAAAAAAAAAAAAAAGAAAAAAGAAAAAACAAAACAACTACAAAAAACCCCTAAAAATCAAACAAACCGTAACAAATTAAATAGGACATTGTAAGTCTTCCTTCCTTTTTTTTTTTTTTTGTGGAACTGGGGTTTGAACTCAGGACTTTGAGCTCACAAAGCAGGAGCTCTATTGCTTGGGCCACTCTTCCAGTCCATTTTGCTCTGATTATTTTTGGAGATGGGGTTTTGTGAATTATTTGCCTGAGCTGGCCTCAAACTGTCATCCTTGAACCTCAGTCTCCCAAGTAGCTAGGATTACAGGTAGGAGCACCAGCACCCAGCTGACTAAATTTCTTTGGCTAAAACGGTCCACGGGCAGAAAAGCAGGTTTTGCCGGAATGTAGAGATCTGGTCACATTGTTTAAAAACAAGAAGGACCCAGGCCTAATCTGCTCTGGCAATGCTGAAAATAATGTGAACAAAGTAAAAACACTGAGTGCATCAGAGATACCCTTCCTGAGGATCAATATATTCCTGCTGCTATTTCTATCATCTCTTCAACCCATCTGTATCTTTTCCCATTCCCAGTACTGCAGCTCAAGGGCAGGCTTTTATATCCTCAGGTTTGAAATCACAGAATGGTGAAGAAAAAGGATTTTGGTTTGGTTTCAAATTCAACACTTACTACATATGTGACAAATTGCCCACATTTCTAAAGCTTTCTTCCTCAGGCAAAAAAAGGACATTATCAATTAATTCACAAAATCATTTGTTGTGAAGAGTAAGGACACATGTAATATGCTGAGGACAAGGCACGGCACACAGTGGGTAACTATTCCTTTCACCTCCTGAAATTTCAACAGATTTCAAATTTGTTCTTCTGTCTTGACTAAAGTCTGAGAAGGTGAGGAATGTGCCTACATCATATAGGTAATTACACCTCATTTATAATAATTATTACTAATAGGTAATTAGTAATAATTACAACTGGTTCTATTCTGCATAGAAACCCTTAATCATCACATTTCAGTTGTGGACAAGAAATTCCCCCCACTTAACAGATAATAGCAATTACTCCATTCATGGAATATCCCTGTACCCTCCCCCATTCTCATTGTCCTTTTTTTCTTTATCTTCTCTACCATCATTCTGGGACCCTGTAATATAGCACAACTCAGTAACAGAAAGTAACACAAAAATTGCTCATCAAAAAATCTAATGCTATTTACTCATAATTACTTTGTACAGTCCTTCAGAACTTCCTTTTCTAAAAAACATCGGGACATGACTACCTACCTTTCCTACTTTGTAAGGTTTTCTATGCTTTTTTTTTTGAGATTGGTGATTTTCAATAATTTTAAAGTTCAATGAGGGAATTCCAAAGATAGTTCAGTTTCCCGTAACAGCCTCCTTCACTCAGCATCCTATAACGTTAACACTGTACATAACCAGCAAACTTACCAACACTACAAAATAATACCAGCACAATACTATCAACTGTCCTATAAACTGTATCCAGATTTTGCCGCTTTTCCACTGATGTCCCTTTTCTGTTCCAAGATCCATCTAGTATACTAGGTTACATTTAGACATCTTTCTGCAGTCTCCTTTCACAGGTGAGTTTCATAGTCTGTCTTTTTCTTGACTGATGCTTTGAAATGTTTGTTTTGAACTTGTTCTTTTCCAGAATTATTTGGGCTATTCTAGTTCCTTTTCTATATAAAATTAAGAACTCAGTGTGTTATCATCTACAAAACTATAGAGATTTTGAGTCTGATACATTTATAAATCAAATTGGGGAGCATTCACTTCTTACTGAATCTCTCAATCCACAATACAGTGTAATTTTCATTTTATTTACCCCAAAGATTTCTTCCATGTAGTTCTGAGCAAACGATATCATATTTTGTTAGATTACCGAAGCCCTGTTTGCTATTATAAATTTTTCACTGCAGGTACGTAGAAATACAACAGACTTTTGTGCATTTTTTTTGTCCTGTGACCTTGCTAAACTGTAGTTTTATAGATTCTTTTGGGTTTCCTGCACAGAAAAAATGTGTTATAGTTGACATATCTCTAAGGAGTCATCTCAAAAATGCCATGTGAAAAAAACGTAGTTCTAGAAGGTATCCATTATATACAAAATGCTGCTCTGTTGGTCTAATACTTACAAAAGTATCAAAATACCTGTATATAGTTGTGTGAACTAGACGGACAGATAACAGGCCAGGCAGGGGGAAAAAAATTCTGAGACAAGCAGCAGTGAAACTAATTAGAAATGTGGATGTCATTTGGAAACTGATTTTCAGAGGCAAAGTTATAATTCGCTTAGCATAAAAAGAACAGCTGGTCTTTGGGTTTTATTACTCCTGGATAAACTTATAAACCATTGAATTTCTACCCATTTTGACTTGGCTTATAAGCTTATTTCATTTTTTTTTTTTTCCCAGTGCTGGGGATTGAACTCAGGGCCTTGCACTCGTCAGGCAAGCGCTCTTCCACTGAGCTAAATCCCCAACCCTCTTATTTCATTTTTTATTGAAACAAGGGTCTTGCTATGTCACCCAGACTGGCTCCATATTCGTGGGCCAAGTGATCCTGCCGTCTTAGCCCCAAAGTAGCTGGGACTTTAGATGTGAACAACCATACCCGGCTTTGATGAGCTGATTTTTAAGACTGAATTTATAGTCTTATGTGTGTTGATGATTAAATATTTCCTTTCAGGAAGAAGTAACTCACCAGTAAGCAGGCTGGGATAAAACCTTCATCAGTACAGTGCTCTGCATACTCTTTTAAATTTGAACTTTCTAAAATAAAAGTCTGGCAGGTAGAAGTGAGGTTTTCTTGTTGCAAGTAACCTAAATGAAAAATAAAAGTTTAGGTATTTTTAGTAAATTCTGTATTTTGATAAAACTGCCATTGAAAATGCTAGAGCAACTACCAGTCTCATAAATGGAGTCTCAAGCAGACCATGCTAGTTTTTGCAGCCTTGCCCAGAAACTTGCAGCTTTTGCTGCAGTACAAAGTATAATTAATAGAATAGGTGGTTCCTTCATTGGAAACAATTCTAGCTAAGTTTGTACAATGAGGTGTTTGACAAAGTGCAATATTTTCATAGTGATGCTTCTAGGAAACCAATAAAGAAATGGTAAGTAAGTTTCTCTACTCCATAATGACCAGATCACGGCATGGAATAAGTGCACTTATTGCATTATCAAACACCACATTCTCTTGATATTGTCCATTTGCATGCTTCACTATCTGCCTCATGATTTACTAAAAGAAGTGGAGGAGGGCCTACCTAGTGAAAGGTCAGAAAGAGCTCCTTCAAACATTGCTAATTCCAACAAGAACTTTCTCCTTAACTTTACTAACACTAAGAGGTTTTCAACTGCGTGGCTGTAAAACAATGAAAAACTCACCTCATCCTAGCATTTAAGGAAATCAATGTCTAATCACAGAATATAAAATCTTTTCTTTTTTTAAAAAGGTTTTTTTTTCCCAACAGTGCAACTGTTTTACAGAAAATAAAATTTTTAAGAATATAAGCTTTGAAGAATTCAGTGAATTCATTAAATAACAAGTAGCAGTTAAAATAACAGTACACATGAGAGTGAAGAAGAATATGATCACAAAAGTTGTCATATTATTCAAAATGTCCAATTTTCACCAAAAATTATGAGACATTTAGAGAAACAAGAAAGTAGAGCTCATGGGCAGTGAGGAAGACAGGACTTGAAGTAGTCAATAGAAATAAGATTCCCAGGAAGTCCAGACAGTGGACTAAAGACTTTGAGCTATTTTCAAATAGGTTCACAGAACTAAAGGAAGCCATGTATAAGAAATGTGAGAATGCAGTCTTAACTAAACAGAATAATAAAAAGAAGCAAACATCATATTAAAAAGAACCAAACAGAAATTCTAGAGCTGAAAGGTATAGTGAGATGAAAAATTCACTAGAAAGGGATAATAGCAGATTGCAGAATATAGTAGAATCAATAAGCTTAAACCTAAGTTAATTGCAATTATCTGGTCTGAGCAATGGAAGAATGATGAAAATTGTATAAAATTACAAGGAGACTTGTGGTACACCATCAAGTGCACCAACATAAGTAAAATGATAACTCCAGAGAGAAGAAATAGAAAGAGGCAGAAAACATATTTGAAGAAATAAGGTCCCAAAGCTTCCCAAATTTGAGAAAAAATATTAACCTTCACATAAGGAACCTTAACAATCTCCAAGTAGGTAAACTCAAAAAGATCCATATCGTTAAGACATACAGAACCCTAAAAGTGGCAAGCAACAAAAGATTCTCAGTCTGATTAATAGCCAATTTTTCATCAGAAAGAGGGTAGAGGCAGCGAGATACTTAAAGATAAAAAAGTCAAGGAAAAATTCTATAACCAGCAAAACTCTCTACCAAAAATGAAGAAAATAATATATTCTCAGGTAAATAAAACAAAATGTGTTGTCATCAGACTCACTGTATGAAACACTAAAGGGTTAGTACTTCAGGCTAAAACGAAAGGACACTGGAGAGTAATGAAACCACATAAAAATAACAGTGGCAAAGGTAACTGTTAACAGTTGATATAAAACAGCACAAATTATTTGTATGTAACTCTTTTCTCTTAGTTTAAAAAGACAACTGTATACAACAATTATAAATCTGGACTGGCAGGCATATAATGTATGATGATAGAATTTATATGACTTTTACTCAAAAAGGAGGGAGAATGGAGCTATCTAGGAGCAAAGTCTTTATATATTAGACTATTAAAATTAACTTTTAATAAAATTAATTATAATCGAGGTAGTGACTAAGAAAATAAAAAAATAAGAAAAAAAAAAGGAAACAGTGGAATTAAAACAGTAAATTAAAAATGCTTGACACAAAATAGGCCATATTAAAGATAGAATAAAAAAGATGTAAATCACAGAAAGCAGGTGCTTAGCTTGTGTGAGGCCCTTCAATGCTGAAAAAACAGCTGTACCATCCAGACAGCAATCAAATGAGAACAAGAAAAGTTATATTAATATCAGAAAACAGACATAAAGACAAATATTGTTACTAGTGACAAGGACAATGATAAAAGGGTTAGCCCAGAAAAAGAAAGGTTATAACTACAAACACAGGTGCACAGAACAACACAGTCCAGAAAGCATCTAGGAAAAACTGATATAAGTAGAGAGACAAATTGACAATTTGACAATATAAGTTGGAGATTTCAATATAGCACTTTTTTTTTTTCTGGTTTTTGAGGTACTAGGGATTAAATCCAGGGTCTTATGCATAGCAGGCAAGGGCTCTACCACATGTCATGCCCTAGTCCTTTTGTCTTTATTTCGTTTTTTTTGAGACACGACATAGCTATGGCACTGAACTCAATTTTCTATTGCCTCAACCTCCAAGTAGCTCAGGTAATAGCAGTGCACCACAATACCTGACTAATACTATACTTCTGATGCTAAGTAGAGCTAGGCAAAAGATCAACAAGGAAAAAGATATGAACAACAATATAAACCAATTAGACCTCACACACACCTATAGTCCACTCAGTTAACACTAGCAGAATATACGTTTCTTTTTCAAGAGCACATGGAACATCTAGGATAGGTCGTGTATTAAGACATAAAAGTGTGAAATCATACAGAGTATGCTGATGATGGATGAAATTAGAAATCAGTACCATTAGGAAACTCAAATATATGGAAAATAAACAGTATTTCCCTAAAAGAGTTAAAGAAGAAATTGAAAGGGAAATTAGAAAATATTTTGAGATAAATGAAACAAAACCACAAGACACCAAAATTTAGATGCAACTTAAGCCACTTTCTAATGTAAGATGGAAAACTCATAGCTATAACTGCCTGTATGAAAAAAAAAAAAAAACACCCAAGGGCTGGGGTTTGAACTCTGGGCTTCATGCTTGTGAAGCAGGTCCTCTGCTGCTTAAGCCAACCCCCCAGTTCATTTTGTTCTAGATTATTTTGGAGATGGGGGTCTCATGAACTATATGCCCAGGCTGGCCTTGAACTTTGATCCTCACAATCTCAGCCTCCCAAATAGCTAGGATTATAGGCATGAGCCACTGGGGCCTAACAAGAAGAAAAAATCTTAATTAATAACCAAGTGTTCCACCTTAAAAAACAAGAAAAAGAGCAAACTAAATACACAGCAAGCAGAAGGAAGGAAATATAGAGTAGCTATAACTGAAACACAGGTAAGGAAAATAATAGGAAAAAATTCAATGAAACCAAAAGTTGATTTTATGAAGATTTAAGGAAAAAAAAACCCTGAAAATGACAAATTCTCAGCCACGCTGACCAAGAAGAGAGATGAGTCAAAATTACTAAAGTTAGGAGTGTTAACAGGGAATACAATCACCTACATTTTAGGAACAGAAATATTGCAGATACCAGCAATGTAGACATGCACAATTCTTAGAAACATGCAAACCACCAGAATGCCTTCAAGAAACAGAAACTCTGAATAGACTTATAGCAAGTGAAGCAATTAGATTTCTAATGAAGAAATTGCTCAAAGAAAACTCCAGGACTAAATGGCCCCATTGGTGAACTGCACGTAACAGTGAGTTAACAAGAGTTAACATTAATTCTTCACAAATTCTTCTAAAGTTATACATAATGTTAATCAAGGCCAAAACCACATTACCCTTTCAAAATCTGCAGAAAAATAATTCAACAAACTCTTGATAAAAACATGAGGAACTGAAGGTAATTTCCTTAACGTGATAAAGTTACCTATGGAAGCCCACAGTTAACATACTCAATGACAACGATTCAAAGCTTTCCTCAAAAGTCAGAGATAAAACAAGGGTCTCTGCTCTTGCCACTTCTATTCACCATTGTACTGAAACTTCCATCCAGGACGATTAGGAAAGAAAAGGATTAGAAAAGAAAGTCAAACTACCTTAATTTGCATATGACATGGTATGTGTGTTGTGTGTGTAAAATCCTAATGAACCCACATAAAACAACTATTAGCTATGGTTTCAACAAGACTGCAGTATACAAGATGAATATATAACTGATTGTACTCTTATACACTTGCAATGAACAATCAAAACCAAACTAAGAATCTGCAAATTTCATTTACAATGGTATCTTTAAAAAGAATACTCAGGAATAAGTTGAACAAAAGAAATATAAGATACAGGTAATTTCAAATAGCTATGAAGCTAAGAGTCTTAGCTTTCTGAAGCTGTGAAGCTAATAGCTCTTAACACTGTGATCAAAGGCTGAAGTTCTCTACAGGACACATACTCAATAGTGCTGTTTTCCAGAGAAAATGCAAAATAGGTGATATGAGAAAGTTAACAAATATCTAAAACTTAAAAAAAAAAAGAGTACAGATTTGTACACTAAAAATCTAGAAAACATCAGTGAAAGCAATTAAAGACAACCTCAATTAATGGAATGGCATACGGTGTTCACTGAATGAAAGACTTAACATTGTTAAAAACCCATTGTTCCCAAATTAATCTCTGCATTCAACACAACCACTATCCAAATCTCACATCCCTTTTCTGCAAAAATTCACAAGCTGATCCTAAAATTCATAAGGAAATACAGGAACCTAGAACAGCCAAAACAACCATGCAAACTAAGAAAAAGTTCAAGGATTCACACCTATTTCAAAATTTACTACCAAGCCACAGAAGTCAAGACAATGTAGTAATGGCAAGACAGACACAGATTAATGGAACAGAACTGAAAATACAGATATTAACAGTCAATTGCTTTTTGAAAAGGGTATGAAAATAATTTATTAGGAGAAAGAACAGTCTTTTCAACAACTGAATATTAACATGCAAAATAAAGCTGGGCACTTAC